GTGGTTTTTAATTTTCAAAGATCGTTTTTTTATATATATATATATAAGAGAAAAGATGACTACTCGTTTTTATTATGAAGACGTCCAAGGCGAAATGGTTGATGATTTCGTTGAGGAAGTTACTTATTTCCATTAAAAAACTTAAGCTCATATAAGAGAGTACTGCGAAAAAGCAAGAAGATGAATAGTTATCGTTTTAAGAGGACGTAAAAAATCTTGATATTGATATGGAGGATTTTATAGCCACAGGTAAAAACAATCAAAGAGCTATCATATTACTCTAATGAGCAAAAGCTTCTATTTGTGTATTATAACAGAAGCTATTCTATGCAGCTAATTTCGGTCGCTTCGCAGGTTGTATAAACGATCGAACAGCACAAAAAATGGGCCAAAAAACTCAAGGAGGACAAGGACTGGAATATTTTTGAAAAGCAAACCAATTTGGCTAATATACTAAAACCACAATTAAATGATAGGCACAAACTTCACCTTCTAGAATTTTACGACGACCGGCCACAAGCACGAGTAGCTGATGCAATGAACTTTTTCACACAAAAATTCTCGGATCCTAGTGTGAAGAAGAGCACTGTCCATAACTTTTTTGAAAACCAAGTGCAATCTTTCCTTCAAAAAGCTGACAACTCAAACAGCTGCTAGAAAAAATCCCACCAAAATTTAAGATCGCAAGGATTGGAGTGCAACGGATATGAACTATTTGGAAAATTGTGTTTTTGTCGATGAGTCCGGGTTTGATACCAACATGACACCACCTAGTGGAGGGTCATTAAAAGGAAAGCCAGTTGTCACAGGTACTCCTACCGACAGAGCTGTTTCTCATACTGTATTAGATGCTATCACGGCAAAGTTTGCTGTTTCTATGGAACTCCGGAATCCCCACGAAGAAACCTCAAAACGATTCAAGATTGACTTTAGTAATCGTGAATGGAAAGTACCAGCTCAAAAGAAAAAATCAACTTCAAAAGGTACTGTCACTGGTCACTATCTGAAGTTTCTTGAAAAAACCATGGATTATGTGGATTTTTTTCTTGAACTCAAAGGCTATTATATTGTATTATGGATAATCCAGCCATTCATGAAGCGGGCCAAATTGATGAAATGATAGTTGCAAGAGGGTACAGCAGTATCTACCTTCCTCCGTACTCTTCTGAGCTTAATCCAATAGAGCAGTTTTGGTCAATTGTCAAAAATAAGGTCAAGCGAAGTTCATTCGAAGCTGTGGTGATTGATAAAAATGTCACGTATAAAATAATGAGTTAATTTAACAATGTCTAATAGTAATTAGTGTATTATTATTCTCTTATTTTTCTATTGCAATTTAGTCTTTTCTCATTGACCAAACAAGAAGTATTAATGAAGTAATGTTTGAACTGGATGTTAACAATACGCTCCCCTCTCTAAACCTTCCAAGTCTGCCCAATGCCTCTGCCTCAACAATCCCCACCTCCTATATATTTTGGGAGACCAAGTGCAATAATGAGCCTGCTTAAAAATAATCTTCCATAATCATGTAAATAAAGTATCTGTAGCTTCTTGTTCAATCCTGTCCAAATAATATCTGCTTTTTCCGAATTTTTAGAGCCTAGTTCCTGCACGAATCAACTGGTGTGCACTTCATTGTTGCGACTAAGTATGAGTTTTTGTCTGAAAAAGATTGTGGCTATTCCCCTCTTGATTCGTGGCTTCACTTTCATCTTTGTCGTCTTCTTTGGAAAAACCTTAAGCTCGATGCAGCTGTATTTTTGAGAAGAGGGTAAACGATTATGGATCTCATGCTTAATAAACTTTGCGCTTATACGGCACAGGAGGCACTGTAGTACTTGAATAAAAAAAAATATTTACGTGCATTCAATTTCTTTGATTTTCGTTTTTACTTCAAGTTTATTTTCAAAGCGTAACACTGTAATTTCTTATTATCCGCCCTTTTGCATTGGAACGACTGTATTCTAAACATATGTTTATTACAATTAAAAGTAAAATAATAAAGCGCCCTGAAGATATCTATTCCAATAAAGGTTTGGATACTTCACTCAATATATTTACAAAACGGAGATAGAAGCTTGCCGATTTCTCATCCAAATAATTTTTAAAATGCATAAGCTTGCTTACAGACAACGTGCATCTCAATTTAAGGGGTCATAGCGAACGTTAATTATAGCTTGACATGAATTTGTCAAACTCAACACAAATTTAACTACTAGTGCACAAGACACATATTCAATAACAGACATCAAACCTGATGAATTTTTGTTGAAATTCTTTAGTAATTCCAAACCCAAGAACCTGTCAGAAATGTCTAAAAGGGTTAAAATTTAAATTCTCAGTAGGCAGTAGCTCTAAGTTATGATTTAAAAAAGAGTTTCATCGCCCACTAGTGTTGAAAGAAGCTCTTTTCTCTTGCATGACACGATTCAGTTATTGTATCATCAAAAGGAAGCCGTAAGGGGAGCTTATACGGAAGCTAGCTATCAAAATTTTGAGTGTGCTTGTCCGAAACCTTCTTGCCATTTAATCACCCCCAACAACGTCTATAATGTAAAGATGAGACTTTTCTGACCCAACAATTCCTTTTACCATCTTTATTACCAAAGAAAATCTACAGTTGGTCTTTTAATCTCGTTGTCAATTTGATCCCGATGATCTTGTCGTGTTTACAGCGTCACCCAAAAAATGACCTATATACAGTGTATAAATCTTCATATACAGCAAACTCGTAATTGCCTTTAAGGTAAAAATTTTGTTAAAGTATGTCTGTATGGGTTTCTTGGAAGATGCTATACTATTTTCCAGTTCCAGTTTTTTCTTTTTCGAAATGATGGATTCACAACCTCGTGTGAGGAGGTTACATGATGTGCATGCTAATTGTATAAGATATAACGCAAAATGTAGTCCTGCTATCAGACTGATTGTATAACAATACATCAAAGAAAATTAAGGACCCGGTGACCCTATAAGTAAATATCAGTCCACATGATTGATGGTCTGTTTGGCAAGTTAAAGCTTTTAATGATAAAAGGAATGACCAGATAAATGAAGTCCTCGTTAATTCAAATAGCCATACAGAAAATACATCTCTTTTTTAATGATCGGCGTCGTATACTTTTATCTTTAAAACTCTTCACGTCATGAAGAATTTTCAGCTTACAAAATTAAGATAGCAATCACGATCAACATTATATAAATATACAAGCATCGTTTGTAATAGACAACGTGCTCTTTGTGTTTGGAAGAGATGGAACAATCGCGCACTCTTCAATAAAATTTGTAAATAATGCAGGATTTGATCGCAATAATTTTAAAGTTTATACCGTATTATTGATAGGTATTTAAAACGTGGTCTGAACCAAACATTGTTTTTGTTCCTATCCTGCAATAGACTATCGGGACTTACACTTAGAAAAAATTTACCCGTAACAAGTTTTTTTTTATAGATGTATGAGGCTCTGTTATTTTATTATTTTATTTTTTATGAAACTAACTACAAATATACCTTTATTCTGAATGGGCTGAAAAATTGGATCCGTTAAAATTAATTGCAGTGTATAATAGATTACCTTTTCTAATCTGGTGGCACACAAATGACCTTATCGATCTAAGCATGTGGGTTGTATTTATATTAAAAATAACACCAATTTTATCGATATTGTGCTACCAGTTAATAGCATACTTCTTTTCAAATTTTTACAGTGGCTATCTATTAGCACGGTATAATAAACTCTTACTTGAAAAAAAAAAATGGGAAAATAAGCCTGTACGTAATTCTTGTCCTACAACTAACGTTCGTATTACTGTACTGAATTTCCCGAAAAGTCGCCAGCAATTTTATTTTTGAAAATGAAAGACAAGTAATCACTTTACTATAGTTTGTTCACCTAAAACATTTTTTCCATGGAAATACATTGAGGAACGAAGCTAGCTGGATGTTGACTCTATCCACGACAATCCTGCAAAATTACATTTGAAACTGATTCCATAATTCGAGGAGTCAAAAGATCGCCTTTGTCTAAAGGGATCCTTTAGATACCACTTTTCACCTTCGACCAAAATTCCTTAATAGGATTGGGGGAAGGGAATATGAAGACAAATAGACGAATTTATAGCTTCTTTCATCGATTGAAGCTCTGATGGAAATTTTTTTGTGCATTATTTATTACCGTCTGTATTCCATTTCTACATAAACAGTCCATCATGAATTTAAGATAGCTCATAAAATGAGATGATCTTGTTCCCACTCTACCATTTACGACAACCTTATTTAGTCATTTATCTTTCTTTCTTTTTGCTGCTCGTTGTTGAGGTAGGTGTAATATCGTAGATATCAAAATAGACTATAGAATTATCAAAGTAAAGATAACCTTTTATTAAGAGTTGAATGAGCTCGTATTAATACTTTTACGAAGCTGTGTCAATACTAATGGTGGATCCAATTGGGATTACTAGCTATTCAATCGTTTCTACATTTGATTTGAATAAATGTTTATTCATGTATTCTTATTCGTTCATAGCAATCTTTTCCTTGATCACGATCTCCAGTCTGTCTACTGAGATCTAATATTTTATTCTATTGTTTTTATAATTTAATACATCTGCGATACAACAGTGAGCTTTCTTGAAGATACGTCAATAACACCATCAGTTAAAATTCCGCCCGGAATTGTGATTGAAGCGCTGCGAGAGGTGGGTACAATTGCTTCAGCAGGCTTGTCTTTCTTTGGCCAACCTCTATTATGGGCGATAATTATATCAAATTCTGCTTGGTCTATTAATTCTCAATTTTTTAAAAAGTCAACCCGATCCTAGGCCATGGCTACGTGCACTTGGGCTGTCCCTAAGAGACCCGTTGATTTTTTTTACAATTATTTAAATAAAGCTTGTTTTGTATTACCGCTGACAAAATTCAAGCAGCGGCCTGACTTGGTTCGCAATATAAATTGTGTAATTTTAAGTACAGGTGTAGTTTTATTACTACTATTTTGAAAATACATGTTTTGCTAGAATGACTTTTTATATTTATTATTGAAGCGAGCACTGGGCTCAAATGGATGGCGTTTTCTAGTATACATCCGTGACTGCGAACGCGTCCTATAAATTTGACATTTTTTTTTTTTTTTTTTTTTTATCTTTTTACTTTATCTTTATCTCTATTATACCAAAGAATGAATATTCTTCAGAACAGAATCGAAACATTCAAAACCAGTATGGTTAAATGGCCCCATACTGGCAGCCAATATAATAAGATAGAAACGGTAAAGTGGTATTTATAATGAGCTATACCCGAGAACTCACTGCTTCTTTAAAATTCAGTTTGCTAAAGCTGGTTTCTATTTTGTCCGTCGCCCTAAATACCCGGACAGCCTTCGTTGTTTCATGTGTGATATCGAGTTAAGCAACTGGAGACCTGGACAATCACCTTTCTCTCGACACACACAGGAATCGCCTACTTGCGCTTTGCAATGGTTAAATTACCCTGATCTCAACAGGAAACTGCTTGCAGTTAATAAAAAGGACCCAGCAACAGACCCAAGAGGTGCAACGATGAGAACTGCTCGCTTGGCTACGTTTATCAATCATAACTTCTGGCCTCCTAACAAGGACATGTTACCAAAGAAAAAATACCCAAGTGGTAACAAGGTAAACGTGACTCTCTTCATTTTGCTCATATGCGAATATTAATGTATCATAAATAGCTTGCCGATGCGGGATTTATCTTCTCACCTACACCAACGCAAGCCTCAAGAATCAGATGCCTTTATTGCAGAATAACTATTGAGGAGCCTTCTGCTAATGAGAATTTATTGTAAGAATAATTATATTATCGCTTTGGTTCTTAAGTAACTTACATTTTATTTAGACATAAGCACCAAGAGTTATCAAATGGTTGCGAGTTCTTTAGTTTAACTCCCAATATGCGTGCAACAAGGAGTCGTAGAGACACTATTGACAGCACCCATAGTCACGATACGTTTTCTACTGCGCAAAGTCATCCAATGGTAATATTCCTTTTAATTAAAAAGCACACCGTTTTTCTCATTACGAGCCATCCTTTTTTTTTTTTTTTTTTTTTTTTTTTATATATATATAGGATATTGGCACCAATACTGAACAAAAGAAGCGCAAGCCAAGTATCAAATCAAATCAACCATCCAGCCAAGACTATAAACAATCCACAGATGTCAAACAGAAGACTAAACGACAACGAACAGTCAAGGGGAAACCAGAAGACAGTTCTATCGCCACTGTAGACAGTCTTATTGATGCAGAGCCGATCAAAATTGTAAGTCGAAAAAAGTCCACTGAAGCATCTGCTACTGCGCAATCAATCGCAAGTCACAAAGGCGGAATTTCAAAAAACCGAACTGGACCAGCAGATGTATGGGATATTGATCATATGTTTTCTTTACCACCCATTTCGCGTCGCTCAGCTGTCACATTTGGAAAATCTACTGGTCGCAGAACATTAACATCTGCAAAGATCTCAGAAGCAGGAGTGAACATCTTCGCCAACCTGAAGACACCACTCATTGCCAAGTCAGTCGAGGACGAAAGCAAGCCCATTACATCACCTAGCAATCATACCCTCGCTACTACTACAAAACTTACTGATGAAGTAGATACTCTTGTCCAATACAAGAAATCAAGCAGAAGGGAAGATGAAATTCCTGCTCAATCCAGAACAGCCAAAAAGCGAAGCCTTTCTTCTTCGAGCAACACCCCAAACACTAATAAGCACCTTCGCCTCAAAGTAGTAGTAGACACAAAAGCAGTAAGTCCACAACCAACAACCGAGGATATATTTGCTGATAACGTACCTGTAAAGGTAATAATAAAAGAATAAAAGGCTAAGATAACAGGAGACTAATACTTTTTTTTAAAAAAAAAAATAGAGAGATAAAGGAAAGGGTCGTGCTGTTGAACATACCATTACTCCATCAGCTCCGCAAAGAAAGAAACTTAGCTTGTCAAAGTCCAAGAACAAGAAGATCCTATCCCGATCACCTACATCTGATACCATGGACCATAATGACTTACCATCTTCCAGTAGTCATCACCCTCAAAGATCGTTCGTTGGATCCAGCACATCTGCTCCAGAAGTGGAAATGGTACCTGTGATCAAAATCAAAAAGTACCAAATGCCAGAAGGCTTTATCGCGAGTTCCCCTCTTTCTTCCCCGCGAATACCTTCCGCAGAAGACAAAGCAGATGTTGCAGCACTCGCTGATTGCTCTACTGTAAGCAAGAGCCCATCGCCATTGCATAACAGCCATGATTCACCAGTGTTGGGCGAGTTTTTATCTCCTTCACCCGTTCTTGAGGAATTTGGTCAGCCATCAATTGGGGAATTACCATGTGATGATAATTATGTATATGATGAGGTTGATTTGAACATATTGGAAGATGCTAAAAGAGCCGAGGAGATGATTACTAATAATCAAGATCCTTTCGCATCCGAACGACAACGAAGTTTTTCTCCAATCCCTTTGCATGTCGAATCTGAACATTGTTACGATTTATCGCAGGATGACATTGGATCAGGCCTTTTAAATTCGCCACCACGATCAGCAGTAGCCAATATGAGCTTCATGCAATCAACGCCTTCAACGGCAGGCAATAATCGTGGAGTAAGCGCATTAGAGCTCTTTGGGCCCAACCCATTATCGCCCATAACTCATTTGCCTATGCCTAATAACGATCGTATCTTGCAATATACCCCTGCGATTGAACAAAGTGGTCGAACAAGACGAATCTTTGAAATTGATGAGGAGATAAGGGAGACAGCTGAGATACATCAGATGGCAACAAAACCTGATGTTGACAAAATATCGGCTGCTGGTGAGATTGATCCTGGTGTAGAGGATGATCATGCTGAAGTAGTGGCTAGTCCAGCTAGGGAATCCAGTAATGCAATGAAGGATCTTGCTGGAGCAGTGAATGATAAGACCAGGACTGATGGGATGTTAGGGCGTATTAAGGGTATCACTGCCACCACCTCTCACTATTTATGGAAACAAGCAAATAGTGTACTTGATAAGCTAGATGAATTTGAGGAGCATATGCGACGCCGCTATCATGATCTTGGAATCGATGATGTCTAAAAAGAACAAAAACAAATATTCACTGTGAATATTGATTTTCGCATTTTTTTTAAAAAAAAAAAACCAAAAATAAAGTACTATGGAATTTGTAATATCTTAAGGTCTTCTCACTATAGAGCTTCAGAAGCAGTAGATCAAGTGCGCGTGTTGCTATGGCCGTACCTGATATATACTTTAAGGCCTTTTTTTTTTTTTAAAAAAAAAAAAAAAAAAAAAAAAAAAAAAAAAAAAAAAAAAAAAAAAAAAGACAATATCGACGGGAAGTACCTGGAATACCATCCAATCTTCACCTTCTTTCGATTGTGCTATCTATAAAGCAACAGAGGCAGTAGGCCTCTATTGTTAATGACAGCACGTATTCTCAATGGAGATGAGAATGAAGAAAAAACGACAAGTGTTGAAACGTGAGCTGTTTTATAACTACGCCACGAGCGTTACACAGCGCCAAGACTTACTTTCTTTACTTGCAGCTGCAGTGTAAACGGAAGCATGACAAAGTACAGATATCACTTTTTTGATTGGTCCCCCGTATTTTTAAACTAGGCGGATTAGCATACGGGAAAGTGTCGTCAATCTATTCGTAATACAGGCTTTTATCTTATACGGCACCATGCAGAATATTTAAAATTAAAGGCACACTCGCTGCACAATACAACACATTCACACCCATAGAGTTTTTCGGACGTTCAAAGCTCAATTTTTTTGGTTAATCTTAATATGGACATTGTCGGGTTATAGAATTTTTTGTATTTCGGTGGAACCGTTTTTGCCAAAATAAAAATGGTTCAAATTGTTTAAAAATAATTATTTTGATTGGATAGAATTATAGGCTTAAAATGTAGATTTTATTTAAAAAAAAATAATGGATGGCTTGGATGCCATACAGCCTTGCCAGCCATTGGAAATCCCTTCAGGATGGTGTAAAAAATGCATAAATTTAATCCACTACTCCCAGAAGACTGTAAGACAGTATGCATTGTTCTATAGAGCATGTATAGCCAGATGCGTACAACAAACCTATAAAAAAATAGTTAGTAAATGATACTGGAATAGTTGAATAAAAATCACTTTACCTTATTTCTTGTGCCGTTCAGAGTAATCCGTATTTGACTAAAGAAGTATGAACGTTAATGCATGTTGTTTGTACACGAAAAGCAATAGACTTACCTCACTTCATTACGCGTTAAATCTGTTATAAAAAATTTTTTTAGTCTTCATTTGAACAAAAAAAAAAGTGCTAGCAATATACCTTCCACATAGATGGGTCAGTTATGAGTGTACTATTGAGCATAAAAGTGAAAAACTATAAGATAGATAGCTTTAGCGTTTATAAAGGGAATAAGAGAAAATAACTTACCAAGTTAAAAAGTTAAAGAAACGGAAAGAAAGACATGAAGAAAAAAAAAGAAGCTAAAAGAAAAAGAACCTGCTGGAAATAGCTGTAGTTCAAAATTCTGGTCTAAACCTTTGCATATAAAAAACCTCTAAGTCAAAAAAAAAAAAACTATATCTCTATCTCTTTTACTTCCTGAATTATGAATACTCAACCTGAACAAACCAACGAAACCGAAAACCCCTATCGTTGCGATTTCAATGAATGTGGCAAGCGCTTCCGGCATCCAAGCGCCCTTACACGTCATAAAAAATCACATAAAATTACCGAAGCCTTCACTTTTAAGGCACCCATTACCCCAAGCAACACGGCCTTCAGGCGAGTGAATGGACCAGAAGTTACTGCATTACCTGAGTCGATTAGATCTACTCGCATCAGTCTGGATCGTATGGTGTTTCATCAAGAGGACGAATCTGAATGCCAAGATTACAGTGACGAGGAAGACGACGAGGACGAAGATGAACCTTTTGATGAAGACATTGAATTCACTGAATCCATTGTTGATGAACCGGAAGCTGTAGTCGACGAAATCGAGGATCAAACACCCATAGTTGTCAACGGCGAGTTTTTTCCTTTCAGGGATAAGATACATCAATTGATGTATCAATTCTATTATCGGTCTGGGGGTGACATATCTCAAAGTTTGATGAAAGATATTGTGAAGCTTGTCAAGGACGTCACTGAAGCCAAGGTTGCCTATCCCGAAGCCAAAGTACCTGCAGCTGATCTCATATTCAACTTTGATGATTCAAGAAGAACAAGAAACCAGATTCCCTTGCTCAGACAGACGAAGCACTACGTCAAGGTTCAGAAAAAGGTGAATGGTCAAGAAGTCGAAGAAGATCTCCCGTTCTATATGAATCCTCCCTCCGAAGTCTTGAAGTTGTTGGTTGCAAACCCTTCTGTCACTGATCATTTATCAAAACTTCCTGATCATACAGAGGGCGAGCTTGTCGATAGTTACCAGTCGAACAAATGGCGTACCCACAAGATGTTTCAACATCCAATGGTCTCTGTCATAATCAACAACATCCCAAAGGATATCTGGGTTGGTGATCTGATCAAAACAGGTCAAACTTTTGTGATTGTGGAGAGGTTTTATACCTTGAATCATTCAATCGTTATGGCTGAAGGTTACCAAGTTCTTCCCGTTGATGGTAGGTTATACCTCCACAACATGCCCAGGAAAGTTTCTGTCGAAGTGAATCTCATTTCAAGCATTTTGTGTGATCGCCCGGAAACTTTGTCATTGGATTTCGAACGTAATGTGCTGGATGACTCTAATCTCCTTAGAGCTTCTAGTACCATTATTAGTAGATTGAAAATGCCAAATCCTTTGAAGCGCCCCTCTCCTTCTTCTGCTCGTAAATTCAAGCCCGTTAAGGTTATTCCCCTGAATTTCTTTACTGATGATATGAGTGGAAATCGAACCAAGAAACACAACAAGTTTGATAGTTGGATTATGGTACCCGCCGCTTTGCCTCTTGCTGAACGACATGCACTTGAGAATACAGCCTTCATCTGTACAGATCATTTGCTGTCAGCAATGCAAATGCTTCCTGCTATTGTTGAAGATCTTTTGTTGTTGGAGAAAGGTGTGGAGATGTTTTTGCCTGGTGGTGAGGCTGTCGTTGTCGTTGCTCCGTTGCAATTTATCACTGCTGATAATGCGCGTCATTCGGAGCTTGCCTCTAGTCGCGGTGCCATTTCAAAGATGCCATGCCGAAAGTGTGTTTGGGAATTAAAAACCCCAGCTCGACTTGATGGCAGTGATTATCGTTGTGACCCTCGCTCTGAAAAAGTGGTTGCAGATATGTACGCGCGATATTTGGCTTCTGGCGGTGACAAGACTTTGTTGGTAAATGTCGATACTGGTTACAAACTTGTTGGTGGTCAGGCTCTGGTAGACCTTCAATCGTTCGATACGATGTTGGATTGTCCAATCGAGCTCCTTCATACGATAATGCTTGGTGTCGGCAAAGCCTTGGTAAAAACATTGTTGCAAGACCATCTGAATCCAACTGAGAAAAGTATCCTCGAAACAAGATTGCATGGTTACGTTAGCAAAGGGTTTACCCGAAAGCTGCGTTCATCATTGCGTCTTCATGGATCTTTCTTAGGTAGGGATTACAAAATCCTCGTTCAGCAAGTACCAATTCTGTTGAATCAATTGATCTGTTCTGGTGAAATTCGACGTGATGACGGTGTTCTCTTGATCAAGACCTGCTTTGAAAATTTGGGCAAGTTAGCTTCGCTTTCTTATATCAGCAAAATCAAGCATAAGTCTGATTCGTACCTGAAGTATGTGGAGTTCACTTACAATGATCTTCGTGTCTCGGTGATGGAGCATGATGCTTACATGAAGCGAAAGTATCCTAACAGAAGGGGTGGCTCCGTTTATAACTCCAGTAAAATGCACATCATGCATCATCTTGTTGATGATATTTATCGATTTGGATCCCCAATCTTTTATGAAACTGAGAAGGGTGAGCAATTTAATAAATTCATTCGAGAGTGTCTGTTTCGTACCAACAGACATAATCCTTCAAGAGATGCCGCTGTTGCTTTTGCAAAGAGGTTGATGGCTCGACATGTATTGACTGGTGGTTCTTGGTTGGTGGCAGGCCAGGATTATCCAGTTAAAGCTTCAAACAAAGTCCTCGAGGTTGCTGTGTCCTTCAAGTCTACTATTAGAGACTTTGTTGATAATGACGATGATGACAAGACCATGAAAGTTGGCTCAACCGGAATTTTTCAAAACGGAAACAACCTCTTTATCGGTGAAGTCGTCAAAATCGATGCGTTGACTGGTGCTCCCACCATCGTTGAATACGCTCTTTGGTGTGAACGTGGACCTGTGACAAGATTTGAACTTCTAAGCCAGTCCGACGGTTTAAACTCCTGCGTTTATTACGTTTGTAACAAAGACAATGGAGGAAATCTTGTTGTTGAAAAGCTGTTGCGGACGAAGTCGACATACAGAGAAACAGAGTGTCAGTTCGTGGAGATGCTTGATTTTTCAAGAAAGATGAACCCTCGTTTCAACTTAATCAACACCAGCAAGTTTGGCACCTTCTGGTGGGCATTGTCTCATAAAGTTAAAAATTTATAAAATTTGTCTTAATAAAAAATCATGTTCATGTACATGTTAATTTCGCCATGTTAATTTTTACTTAGAAGTTTTTTTTTTTTTTTTTTTTTTTTTCGTTATTTCATTGGATGAAATGATTTTAAAAGCATAATTGTTTCCCAGAAGAGACTATCTACAAATTGAGCTAAGAAGATTTGGTGGGCTGGCTATTTTATTGGACGAAAGATTTTAAAAATAAAGTTTACATTCAGATGAGGGCACCTTACTATATAAGTTGAGGAGACTCAGTTGGTGTGTTGGCTCAATTTTTATTTTATTACAGTTTTTATCATTGGTGAATAAACTAAACATGATAAGCTAGGAAAAAGAAGGTCTCGTATTTGGCATACAAAAAAGAATAAAAAGTGGGTTATTTGTCTCAGCCTTCTTTTTTTTTTATTATTTATTTTTATTTTTTATTCTAACTATTTTTAATCAGGTAAAAGAAAGTCGTATTGCCATTCCTTTTCTCAAAAACATGTCCTCAAGAAAGAACTCTTGCAATTTTGACATTAGTCAGTATATACCCAAACGAACGTCTTCCAATGGAACCAACGTGGTTAAAATGTTGGAGGCGTTTCAACCAACATTAAAGCAAAGGAATGATTCAATATGTTCCAGCAGCTCTAGAATTACTGTTTCCAACCCAGACATATTCTCTCGACTGTTGGGCAAGAGGCTATCTTTGCCTACCACCTTATCCCAAGATAGAAGGATTCAAGTTACTTTGGATGCAGATACTTTCATCAGGCTATGGATCAAACACCTCAGCAACTCACTCGATATCAAATTAGCTGTATTGTACAAACTGGCTGTTCATGCTGACCCAGACTATTTTTTGTTTTACCACGAGAATGGTAGACAGTCAAGTAAAATCTATCCACAATCAAACCCGTCCCTTCACTTTTGATTAACTCCGTCTTTTCTTTTTTTTTTTTTTTTTTTTTTTTTTTGTGCCTATTTTATTTTCTTTAGCTATTCCTTTAAATGACGATGAGCTGGTCTATATTTGTCAGATATCCGATGATAACCGCACCAACAGAGTACTCGTTGCGCCCATAAATGGTTTCATGTTAGTTCCACGGCAAAGAGATGATTATTCTGGGTAATTTATTTATATATATATATATATTTATATGACTACTAATTTACCTTTTAAACATATTACAGATCAAACTACTACGTTCTGAAAAGTACCGTAGTAGATAGTCCTACGGATACTCAATTGAGTGATCCAGACACTATATCTTTACCTTCCTCCACTGTCTCTTCTAATGAAATTTGGACTACTAGACCATCTTCTTCTACCGTATCCTCCAATGAACTTTGGGCTATTAAACCATCATCGTCAGCCTCTTCAAGACCCTCATTGCCTTCAAGTGAACTCTGGGCTACAAAACCATTAATATCTTCAAGTGATCTTTGGGCGACAAAGCCATCTTTACCATCATCTGACCTTTGGGCCACTGTGCCTTCCACATTAACTGAAACAAGAAGACCCTCGGCTTCTGTATTATGGCCTGTAGAAGATCAAACAAACATCCCGGTGGAAGGTATATCTCTTTATGATCCTCCCACTCCCCAAAACGATGGCCCAATTATGGAATTCCCAACAAATGATACACTACCATCCCCTGTTTCTGATAAACCACAAACATCCGAATCAACGTCAGAAGAAGCAATTGTTATGTTTGGTGAAAGACCTTCAGTGGAAAAGCTCTACAGAGATATTGACAAATATTTACCTGGACACGACCTTGATAAAGAAATCCTTGTGGAGCCGGCACCACCAATTACAGCCATTTCTCCTGTGGTGTCAAGAAGGTTATTGGGCCACAGACAATCAGTCCGTGTGGTTGCCAAACAAGCACACCAGAGATGGAGACAGGCAACGACCAATGTCATGATGGTAAATACATTACTCAGAAGAAAGAGTACAAAAATGTGGGATAGACCTGTGGAACGTGTTAAGCCTGGTGAAGAAACTATCATTGTTGCTACAGATACACTTACACCAACAAAGTTTCGATGGATGCGTGGTAACCTGATTGGAAGAGGATCATTTGGTCGTGTCTATCATGCTCTCAATATTGCTGCTGGTGAATGGATTGCTGTCAAGCAACTTGATATGGCTGTAACTGCATCCGATCATCGTAACCAAGAACTACAAGATCGTTCCGATGCATTGTATAGGGAAATTCGCTTATTGAAAGATTTGGATCATGAAAATATTGTTCAATACATTGGTTATGATTCTGATCTGAAGGAAGGACATACATACATCTTTTTAGAATATGTTCCTGGTGGTAGTATCAGTGGTCTGTTACATCAATACCAGTCCTTTGATGAACCACTGGTAAAGTTCTTTACTCGACAAATCCTTTGTGGTCTCGAATATTTACACGACAAGAATATTCTCCATCGTGATATTAAAGGTGGTAATGTCTTGATTGATTTAGACGGTGTCTGCAAAATTACAGATTTCGGCCTATCCAAGAATCAGAAACAAGGTGTTTATGATCCCGTCTCAGATCACACAAACATGAAGGGGACAATCTTTTGGATGGCTCCTGAAGTCCTGTCAGAAAATTACAGCGCAAAGGTGGATGTTTGGAGTCTTGGTTGTACAGTTTTAGAAATGGTAACTGGTAGACATCCGTGGACGGAATTGACTACCTTGGCCGCCCTGTACCAAGTATGTAAAGAAAAAATTAATTTGAAATGTCCATAATTAATAATAAGTTATATCTTAGATCGGTTCGCACAAGGCCCCAGAAATACCTTCCCACCTTTCAGATGAAGCCAAAGACTTTTTGCAGTTGTGCCTCAAGATGTATGATATTCCTTATAAAATTTAAACGATTATATGTTAACCTTGTTTTTAAATATAGCAAACCCGAAGACAGGCCAACAGCAAGCGAACTATTACAGCATCCTTTTGTCCAGCCTGATCCCACGTATGACTTTAAAACATCCTTAAAAATGCAAAAGAAAAAAGAGGAGGTGCCATACCCTACCAACTTTTAATTTCCTATACCACCATCGCTATCTTATTACCATTACTACTCTATACATAAATAAATATACAATACTGTCATCAGTTCTGGGTTCGATGAAATGCGATAAACACGAGCATATTATCCCCGACTATGTGTTTAAAATGTCTTGAAATTTAATTTTGAAAAGCTTGGCAAGCTCTCGATCTTCATAACGTTTGCTGTCTTGCTTTCATGTAACCTATTAGAGGTTGCACATAGCCAAAAGTAGCACAACAAACGCACGACTAGGCATTTATACCTCGGATTGCCTTTGTTCATCGCTAGCAAGTTGACGTTTTGTAGCCTTATTGCCTAAATATATTACTTTCTTTTATAAAACTGTTGCCACAAATTGTGCATTTGAGTATCCAAATACTCACATGCTTAATTGATGCTGCTAGTTACACGGAACGGAAGTACGGCGTTATTAAAGGTGACCACGGAAATGCAACTCTTTTTTTTTTTTTGTTGAACATCAATTACTTTTTCTATCCCGGCCCGAAAGTGACGTCGAGATCTCAGCTGTTGAGTTCAATTGGCGGTACCTGTGATTGTAGAAAGTATAAATATATATATATTTTTTTTTATTGTCAATAGTTGCTTCTCCTTTTAGATCTACTTTTTTTTTAAAAAAAAAATTGAGAGCACAATAGAATGGAGGCTCTATTACAAAATTCTACTTCCTCAGTAGAATTGAACTGGCTCGAAGCTAAATGGGATGGCATGTACGAAGGCCGAAACCCTTTGGTTGTCACTGGTATTTTCGCCTTCTTGATGCACGAAGTTGTCTATTTTGGCCGTTTTATTCCTTTCTTGATTTGCGACTTTATCCCATATTTTCAAAAGTACAAATTACAAGAGGTAACATGATGACAGATGATGATGATGACGAGAATCGATGATGACTAACATGTGCGCACAATAGAACAAAGTAAACTCCAACGAAGATTATTGGAACTGTACTAAAAAAGTGCTCTATGCTCACTTCGTATTTGAAGGCCCCTTGATCTTTCTCTTTCATCCCATGGCTACCTTATTAGGTATGAAAGTTTCTGCACCCTTCCCCGCTTGGTAAAACAAAAAAAACTCCCCCCCCCCAAAAAAAAAAAAAATTAATTATGTAATTTTCGTTACCTAGGCAACAAATGGCTCCTCAATTAGCTATTTTCTTTTTATTCGAGGACTTTTACCACTATCACATGCATAGATTCATGCATTGGCCACCATTCTACAAGAAAATTCACAAGGTTCATCACGAGTATGCCGCACCTTTTGGTATTGCTGCTGAATACGCTCATCCTGTTGAAACCATGATTTTAGGCTTTGGTACCATTTGTGGACCTTTGATCTACCACGCCTTTTCTTCCTTGGTATTTGATTTAGGCTCTGCTTGGGATCTCCATTTAGTCACTATGCTCTTGTGGATTGTCTTGCGTCTTTTCCAAGCAATTGATGCTCATTCCGGTTACGATTTCCCTTGGTCTCTTTGTAATTGGGTCCCCTTCTGGGCTGGTGCTGACCATCACGATTATCATCATCAAGCTTTCATTGGAAATTACGCATCGTAAGTAAACATGCTATCAATTTAATTAATCATCAAACTAATCATATAATAATTTCTATTCAAAAAAGATCTTTCCGTATTTGGGATTACGTTTTCGGCACTGATAAGAAATATCGTGCTTATCGTAAGCGTCAAGCAGAAGAGAAGCGTAAATTGAAGATGAAATAATTACATAAGAAAACAATAGATTGCAATAATATTAATACTAATAACCCCCTCTTTTACTCTACATAATAAAAAAATAACTACTGCATAATAATTTTCTCCTCCCCAAAAAAAAAGTTTTTATTCAAAATTGGTAGTGGTGTCCAAACTAAAATGTTGATTGATATTTCCTTTTTGGTGATGATTGTATTTTGAAGCTCTCTTTTTCTTTCTTTCACGTTGCGCTTCCTTCTCTTCTTGCAGTTGTTTAGCACGTTTCGTTGTTGGTTCTTGTTCATCATCTTCATCCTCAGACCATTCAATTGTTCTTGTCTGGATCATACGGTTTGAAATAGTCTTCCAGCTAAAACGCATGATACTGGGAAATCCAAAGAACTCATCTTCATTTTTATCCATCCATTTCACCGTGTTGGGATCAGAAGGATAGCCAGATCCGAAATCTTTGGGCACTTTACCTTCTAACGCAGTTTCTGTCCACTGCCAATTCTGAACAATTTGATCTCGGGTGACTTTGGCGCAAATACTGGCAGCACTGACAATGGGGTAAATCGAATCTGCTTTAGGTTCAATCGTAATAGCGATACCAGGAAAATGAGATGATAATTTGTTTTTATAGCTTTGTGAGGGTCCAACTGGATCGATATACATCTTTCATCACATTTAATACAAAGGATCGTTGTTACAAACTATATTGTTAATTTTACCTCTTCCACATTCACTTTTCTATCCAAGACTTGTCTGATTAATTTAATTGTTGCGTCATGAGACATCTCGTTCAAATTATATGCAGGCCTTTTATAAACTTGTCAGTTTCGGTTATACGTATATACATTTATATCATGTGCTACCTTCTAAACATGCCAGAGGAAATATCGCGGGGCGCGATCACGTATACTGCCCAACCGATCCAGTCTGCATTTGCTTCAATGAGTTTTGCCAACACGGTTCTTTTATCCTCTGTCAACTTTTTTGAATCTATGTATGCATGTCAGTAAGATCAAGAAACACGAGACACAAACAAAAGGTATATACCCATAAATCCAAGCTTCTTGAACTCTTGGTGACGAGACAATGGGCAGTAGCTCACTGCGTACACCAAGGGTCCTAAACAAGGTCCTCTACCAGCTTCATCGACACCTAAAACGCACGGCTCATTGATCTTGTTGGGTATGTTTTCAGCGATTAGAGTTGGTACTGGACTGTAGTATTCATACGACTTTGTCAAAGGCAAAGTGACAGAAGGCAATAAATATAATGGTGATGTGTTGGTCATTCTCAAAAAAGAAAAGAGAGATCTTGTTGTGCCTGCAATTAAGTCAGAGCAGCCAGGCAGTCACTAAAAAAATCATCTTCAGCTTCCGGACATCCAAAAGTTGATAATCCCTTGATGTTCAATTTGTTTTTCTGGTTGGGTTTTTACCTTTCAAACATAGATTGTAATGAATTTCTCTAATTCGAAACTGCTTCCAAGATTATTCAAGTCATTCAGCGCTCAAAAAATCTCGTCGTCATTGCTGTCTACTACAGTAAGACCCACACGCTTAGGCTTTAACAACGCAGCAACCGCAAGGGTGCCTGTCCATCGCTTTGTTCACTCTTCACCTAAAGAATACAATGGGGTACAATCAGCAGCTTACCATTTCAAAAGACAGCGCCATATGCCATACTTTTTAGAATATCTTATGTGGGTTGTATTCGGATCAGAGGCACTTCATCTTATCTGGCTTAAAATTGATATCAGAGAATACAAGGAAAAAATGCAGCATAAAACTAAATTATTGGAGGAAATCATAAAGCGTGTCGAAAATGGTGAAGTGATCGATGATAGTTTAAGGGAGGAAATTAAGATGGTGTTGATGAACAATAAGCATACTGGAGAATACCATGATGATATCGATGATGAATATTTGAACAGCTGTAGGTTATGTTTATAGTTCTTTGTTATTAATGCTTGTCACACTAACATGTCCGACTAGTAATTGCATCATCCGAACAAGCAGCAAAAGAAGCTCCCGAAAAAATCAAGAAACCTGTCACTGAATCAAAGTGGGTTGAGATCAAGGAAGAAGCTGGAAACGATCAAGATAAAAAGAAGAAGCAGCCCTTCTTCTTGTAAGAGAAACTCATGTACTATCTGTAAATAAATTTAATTGTAATAGACGACGTGTGTTCATTCATACTCAAAGCAGGGAAATGTGTTCTTTTGAAATATACAAGAGAATGTCTACACCCACGTCTTTTTTTTTTATAAAAAAAAGTTTACTTCAATTGACATCTATATCATGCTTCACTATTGATACATGCTGCTACTGAAATGCTGAATGAGAACGTATGTCGGCGATATTGAGTAGAACAGGTCGTTTAGAATCATTTTCATAACACACATCGAAAGTGCCTAATTCTTCGGTCCTTTTAGACAATCTTGCTGCATTTTCCTTGCTGTAGTCTTCACAAAAACACCTACAAATAGCTTGATCCTGATTTATGCCCATCAGATTATGGAACGAAAAAGCAGTTTAAATGATTCACTGAACCAGGTTCATATATTCATTGAGCCAGGTTCATTTTTTCATTGAACTCGGTTCATTTTTTCATTGAAAAAAAAACCCCCACTCATTGGATGAATCAAAGCCCTTTTTTGGAAAAAGCACGACACTGTTTTCCTGAACTGTGGAACACTCTTTTCTAAAAAACATACGGCACTTGAGATAATCGGAAACGAGAAGGTATGAGACTCTTTGACTCTTTTATTAGGTATTTTTTTACGTGGTGAACGAATTTGTTTCGGATTTTTTTTTTTATACATTTCGATCTAATATTTTCTGAAAATAGTGTATACATACGTATAATATACAAATCCTTATTTGACTTTTGCTTATTTATTAAATACTTAATTTAAAAGAGACCAAATGTCCAACTAGAGTTCATATTGTTTGATTGGTTCTCAAATTCTAATCAATGGCTGTAGAAGCACTATACAAAAAGCATTTTATTTATTTTTCACCCTGTAACAATAAGTAGTCCCGCTATATGCGGACAGTTCCTATATAATCAGTGGCTACCACATCAGAATGTTCATTATGAAAGGATACAAAGCACTTATCACAAAAATAACAGGGCGAAAACCCACTGAGAACCTCTTCCTCTGTTATTTTGCTACAAAATCGTTAATTATCAACTGAAAGAAAAAATAAATGACAGCTGAACATAGAACTCACGTTGCCGGAAAAATGGTGCACATAGAACATTTAAATCGATCGTATTTTAAGTTATGGGTTGTTCTCGGAAATTCAGACTTTGACTGATACTCCGAAGGAGAGAGTAACCTGACATCTTGGAATTGTAGCATATGCTCACAACCATCTTGATGTAAAAATACAAAAGGCTTATGGATATATATTGGTATATCTTTGACCACCGCATCTTCCATAGCCTTTTTTTCGTATTTGAATACCCCTTTATTTACACCTTTCCTGGTAAGCCATGATTTTATGAGTTCATCATAGTAATCATCTTGCTGTTGTAGTCTTGTATCTAAGTAGAATACATGATCCATGTATATAATCGATGGCGATAGCTTCTTTTCCGATGTATTAATGATCTCTCCCGTCGGAATTTGGCCTAGCTTATCACCGTTGGACAAGAAATCACTTAGACAATACATTGCATCACGAAAATCTGACAGTTTTTGAGAACCCAGAATTTCGATCTCTTGAAACTTCTTGTCCGTTTTTTGTGGGTTATATATAGTTATTGTGATTAAAGTATCCTCCAGAGACTTACTATCATCGCTTGTCACAGTGGTATGTGGTGTATACTGAAACCTCCAAAAAATATTATGTTAATATCTTATGCAATTCACTCTTAAAAATATATCGTACATTATCTTTAACGTATTTATAGGTACTGCTTTCACATTGTCTGGGCAAGAGCGTATAGAGATATTTTGGACCTATGCTTTTTAACAAACTCTGTTGAAAAAGTTTGGCAGTTTCTTTAAATGAATTTTCTAAAGGATCATCATCACCTTGCTGCTCGGTGTTTGTAGTGTTATTATCAGTAATGCATACAGATGGTAATGCAAGCTCAGAGTTAATGGTAGTGGGTGCTGTAATCGATTGTTGAAGTGGTTCTTCTATTTCAGGAGGAGGGCTGGTAGTTGGCATAGATAAATATTTTCTCTTTCTGGATGCGATAGGACTGATATATTCGTTTAGGTTGGTACGGCTTTCTTCCAGGTTTTTGATCCTTTCCCATTCCTCTTCTGCAATGGTGTTAACTGTGGAAACGTCTTTCGCCTGCGGTTTCTTTGTAGTGGTAAGATGCTGGTACTGCCTCACACGAGATATTCGTTCTTTCTCTGTTATTAAGGAATGAATATCGGTGGAAATGCGTGAGATCAAATCTGGGTCTTGGAATATTTCAGAAAGAGTTGCTAAATTGTATTTGGATTCCAATCTAATATAATAGTCAATTGAGTACTTGGCTAATGTACAATTATACAAATAAAAGAGATCGATTGTTTACACTCTGTCTTTATATTCATTCTTTTTTGCCTGAAACACTGGATCTTTTTCAATGGCTTCTTGCTGTTCAAACAGATCCTTAAAATTCAACGTCAATTGATTGGGTGTAGTCATTAATTGAAAATGTTCAACAGGTGAAAGCGGCATTTTATTCGTATCCTGAAATCAAATCTCTGTAACCTGACTTTTCACCTATGTACACACCACCAATGCATATAAGCAAAATGGTTTTTGTGGAACACTCCCCTTTTTCATCTATAAAAGCAAGGCAAAATGCGTTAAACTGTATTATGAGCAGGATGGGCTACATGTCCCTTGAGTTTGACCGGTAATTTATAATTTTTTGATTACAACAATCCTTTCTTGGGCTACTTGCCTCGGCTCACAACTAAGTTATCATGCCAAAGCCAAGCTAAAATAATTGCAATATCAAATATTCCTTTGATTAATTTATTTATACATAAAATGATCAATTAGACGAAACACCCATGCCGTTGAGATAATCGGTTTACACTGCTAACCAAATGTGTTTTCACCAGAATATCTACGAAAAAATTAATTCGTGATCTATATGATGTATAGTAATCAGTACTTTACTTTATATACAAGAACCCATCTTCGTCTTTAAACTGCTCATCCACAGAAGACATCAAAGCTATAAAAAAAAAGAGGGGCCATTGAGGAAAAGAATTATTCTTAAATATATGAATCCGTACCCATTATAGATGACAAATGGCCTCCGATGAAGACAAATAGAGCCTTGTTTGGGTTCAACCGAACTCTTTTTCTAATTACATACATAAACTGACCCACAGTTAAATCCCCCGGAACGAGATATTTTTTTTTATCAAGAGTTGCAATATCACTTTTATCAATCTTTTCGCAAATGACAGGGATGCGATCTGGATATTTCTGTCGAATACGATCAGACTCAGCCTTTCGTTTAGCTAATGCAGAGATTGAATAAGAAAATGCAAATGGATAGCTTACAAGCGAACTCTTACCAAAAGTGTGTTCAGTCTTAAATTGGTAAATTAATTTATTCATAGAAGAAAGTATGGATGGTGTAGTATTTTATTTTAGTTGGAATATATATACTATGAGATTTGATAAATTTTTTTAATATGTCAATACAGAAAAAGTTCTGATATAATCATGCCTTGGTAGATACCAGTGTTTACTACAGATTAGCGTAAGTACATCATGTGAGCACAATAAGGAATATTATGTAGTGCTGACAGATAACACCTTTTTATTAATGGCATTGCAGGTGGTATATAGGTATATCGTACACTAAAATATACAGTAGTCTTGTGTAGTTTGGGGTGTAGTTTCCCCTGAATAAGTATGTTACTAACTTGTGTGCAAATAGCACATGAGTTTTAATTATAAGAAGAATGTATCGCTACTTTTTTTTTCTGATCGTTTTCTCTTGCTAACTATTTGGATGCCAAATTAAATTACCAAAAATGTCAGTTAAATAACGGCGATATTACGTTTAAAAAAATAACTTAATATAGCTGTTTCAATATTCATCGCCCTAATCATCATGGTATTCCCCGGTGAGCTTACTGCTCATGAAGGCTATTTGATTACCTCTCTCAAGTTGAAAGCTATCATTGTTCCTGACATAATAAGCAATAAAAGCAGGCTATTCAGTAATTAAGGTGAGGCTTTTTATTGATATCCAAAATAGGGCACACACAATTTATCCGACCAGTAATAAAGCTTCCACGTGGTTATCACGTGATTTGTTTTAATTTTAATTGTTGGAATATTATTTTAATACATATTTTTAAGTATATAGGAAAGATGGCCGAGCTGGTCTAAGGCGTCACGTTAAGGTCGTGATCTCTTCGGAGGCGTGGGTTCAAATCCCACTCTTTTCACTTTTATCTTTTGGCCGTGAATGTAGTGTGTGTAGACTATACTACTGTCGTTTTATGAATTCATAATAAAGCATCTTTTACTCATAACTAAGAACGATCACAACGCTACTCCAGCTATAAAAGGGCTAGCCGTTACGAAATTAAAAGACTGATAAAGCTACAAGCTACAGTGGTATTTTGCCAATTATTAAATAGCATTTAAGACTGAAGTGTGGTGTATTGCCTTCTTATACGACTCATAAAGCACCACATGCTTCTAGTCAACAGTGATGATAGCTTTATGTTGAGGACAAGTATACAGCTGAGTGTAACTGCCGATTTACGAATTTAGATAACATAAGACCAACCTGGACCAATGTAGACCAACCTTTTCTTAAAATCACTGGTATGCCAAATTATAGCCAATCAGAGATTTGTATGTGGACCAAAATACAGTAATAGGAAATAGTACTGTATTTCCGCCGTCAATTGGTCACTTTTTTGAGAAACTTGGTCACTTATTAAGTTTCAATTGGTCACTTCAGACAATTTCAATTTTTTATTGGATGAAGTCGGATTTTATCTTCAGACATTTTCCTACTAAATTTATGTTCATGGCAATAAATGGGCCAATAAATGTTGTTCGGGCCGGGTGGCGATTTTTAACTAAGGCCATTATTAAAAGAGAAGATAAAAAAAAAAAAAAATTCGTTTGTTCTTTAGTTTGGGATTCGGATGTAAATGATGAAAGGCTGAAGTTTAGGACTGGGTTACCAGACTGGCTTTGGTTCAGCTTAGGACTGGGTTACCAGACTAAGTGCTGTCGTTTAGACTATGTAGTAGAGTAATCTATTATGTAGAATGATTTTTGGGATCAGATGGCCTCCTACCTTCTCGTGGTTGATCCTGTTAAACAAAAAATGTTTTGTGAACTAAAAGGAGCCTTTTCCGCCATCATTATTATTAACGTAATCTAATAAAAATGTATATTTAAACACTTCTGAAAAATTGCTTTTTATCTAGGGAAAAAAATTTTAAAATGTTGATCAAAATGACTACGCCGTTTATAATACTAAAGCTGTCTTTACCTTAATTGTATATTCAATAGGAAGATATTATGGGATCATACACATCATAAGAAAAACCATGAAGGAAGGATGATTATACGGACACCACATTTTTCCACCTTGAATTTATTTTGGGACACCATTTTTTCCCATACCTCCCTATTACTTTGCATAGTTGTTTATACTGCGTCAATATCCTACACACCGACTGATGTTTCTGAATTTTAAAAAATCAAATATGGATTAAGGTTTGGTGCAGAAAACCTTCTAAATTAAGAATAGGCCAGTTTTTAAGCAGCCGACTGCAAACATTTACTTTTTTTTATTTCTGTTTACATTATACAAAAAAGGAATACATACATATTTTTATGTGGAAATGTATTTTAAAAAAATAGCGTGTTTTATTATTGTAATAAGAGAGAAATCAATAAAATGGGGAAAAAATAGATATATCTATGTATATTTGCTTGTAATGGAGTAATGATTGCAGGATTTAAAGAAAAACAGCAGATAGAAGGAAAATCTTACCTGTAATTATAATCATACATTAGAATTAATAATAAAAAAAGCGAAAGAGGACATACCTTTATATATATTTATGAACAATAGACCTATGCTTACGCCAATAGACCACTAAAGAATGATAAATGTTATTACTCTTTTTATAAGGCGTATACTTTAAGACTTACAGTATATATAGTCTCATTATCTTAAACATAGGATCAACGATGGAATGGTGCATAAACCTTGACTGATAGCCTTGTTAAGGGTACGTTATCATGCTATATATTAAACATTGAGTGTTGGATAATGGTCTATCTATAATTTATACCTAGCTTTCGTTTAAAAAGTGTTGAAGAAAAAGAAAGAAGAAAATTCAACTATATCAATGGAAGCCTATTTTGGTGGCTACAAAAACCAAGTGCCTTCTGAAACATAAATAAAAAAAAACTGTAAATAAGAAATTTTCGGATGATCACAATTGTTGTAGTTTGTAGTTTGTAGTTTGTAACTACAACTTTATTTTTTATTTGACCATCAAGTATTGGCTGAACTTTGAACTTTATTTTTTTGATTCAAAAAACCTTCCAAATATGGATTTTTCTTAGTTGGTGTGATATAACAATCCATTGAAAACATGCTTTTGATTACGGTTTTACTTTGAATTCCATAAGAAATAGTTTTAGAATCTTCACGACAGAAAGGAAGCCACGAAGGCCTGCTCAAATTACCTTTTGCGATCTTAACATACACTGTTGACGTCTTACAAAGTAAACATAAAAACACAAATATTATTTCCTTAAAACTAAGTATGTACATAAATCACCCAATTATATCTACTGTATTGACCATGAGTAAACAGGTTAGTATTCAAAATATGGTGTTTCAAAAACAAATCAAGCTTAAAAAAATGGTGTCCGTATAATCAGCCTAAAGGAAAAGCGGATTTTGCTAAATGCACACACTTTCCGGAGTATAAAAAATTCTCCCCTTCTTCAACTATCACAAGACATGTAACAACAACAAACATAGTTACAATCACTTTCCTCTTCTTTTTAGCAGACTTTGATTATCTTCCATTTCAAATGAACAATTCCATATATTTATTCGATTCAGTTGAGCTTAATAAGCTAGTGTGCACACATATTAATACCTGTCAAGCCAAGATTTAGTTAGCATCGACTAGCAAGGCAATGTTTTTGATTGAATTATCGGAAAAGTCCTTTATTGTTCACAATCTTCGACATGAAGAAGTAAATCAAAACAAGAATCTCCCGTCAAAAACAGCAACGTGTATTAAATTAACAAATAATCGGCTATTCACAGATTCATATATGTTTAGACTATTGCAAATAAATAAACATATCAATGAAATACGCGTCAATATCGGTACTGATGCCACCATAGCTACAGAACTATCAAAAACAATCAAACATATCACCAGAAAAGGGATAAAACTTGTAGTGGAAAGAGCAGCAGACTCAGATGCGATTATTGCCGTTTATGAAAAATGGTGGACTAATTATTATGACAACCATGTCATATATTGCAACAATACTCAACAAAGCATCCAATCAAAAAGAAAAATAGATGACGACATGGTGCTTTTGTCTGTACCAAAAGATAAAAAACAACGACAAAAGTTTCTTTTGGAGAAATCGATAGGGCTTTTGGAGGATCAAATCATGGTAGAGGAGCCCAACACAAAAATAACACAAATATTTAGCAAAGTCATCAACACCAACAGTGTTTATGCACTATCAAGCATTGATATTAGCCAATGCTTTCAAACATTGAGATCAAACACAGAAGTACCATTATTTGCTAAAAAATTCATGAACTGTGTCATCAAATTTCAACAACAATTAGTGTATGTAACTGGTTTTGACTTGTTTTGCCATTTCCAACGAGATAATGATGATTGTGCTACAGATATGGTTCCCAGCAATTCGAAAAAAGCGGTTGCAAAAATACAAAGGAAAACCTACCTGTCAACACATTTCCAAGAGATATCAATTTATTTTGGTATTTACGAGCTTCTACTGACAAGTGGATATATTGCAACAAACGATTGTATCATACCATTCCTTGGGTCGGCGATAACTATGCAACTAAATGAACAATGTACGGAAGAAATATACATAGATACTTGTGGTCCAATAGTTATAAACACTGAAAGACTCCTAAGGCAATATATGAAGTTGCACTCATACAAACCATGGGGATTTTATTCCCTTGATGCATTTACAAAAGGGTTTACCCCTGTAATACCCATTTCCTACCATGGTCACGTCTCTCAAAAGAACAAAGACATCACCGTCCACCATTTTGCCTCTAGGCTATTGTCAATTGTTTCCAGCAACAAAATTATTACAAAAGAAATGATGGTTGATTTGTGGTTATTTATGGTACAAATTCCTCTGTTCACAAAAGTATCAAGAACCAATAATTTGCAGTCAATCAATTTTAAGGAACTAGATGTATTGCTAAAACAATCAAATAAATATGTCTACTTTGATTATTTGGTGGGTATCTCCGCTTATATTGAAGAAAGGGCTGAACAGAAGAGTCAGTTCATTTCCAACATGTATAGTCAAACTGCTACCAAAGATATTGCTTTGAAGATAGGAAAGGGCGGTTTGTTCGGGGATATCAAGAAAACAAATGATGCTCTAATGAAAGTAATGAAGAAAGCCTTGATGTGAACTTCATTGATTTATTTAATAAATGTTACGCTTTTCCTTCATGGTTTTTCTTATGATGTGTATGATCCCATAATATCTTCCTATTGAATATACAATTAAGGTAAAGACAGCTTTAGTATTATAAACGGCGTAGTCATTTTGATCAACATTTTAAAATTTTTTTCCCTAGATAAAAAGCAATTTTTCAGAAGTGTTTAAATATACATTTTTATTAGATTACGTTAATAATAATGATGGCGGAAAAGGCTCCTTTTAGTTCACAAAACATTTTTTGTTTAACAGGATCAACCACGAGAAGGTAGGAGGCCATCTGATCCCAAAAATCATTCTACATAATAGATTACTCTACTACATAGTCTAAACGACAGCACTTAGTCTGGTAACCCAGTCCTAAGCTGAACCAAAGCCAGTCTGGTAACCCAGTCCTAAACTTCAGCCTTTCATCATTTACATCCGAATCCCAAACTAAAGAACAAACGAATTTTTTTTTTTTTATCTTCTCTTTTAATAATGGCCTTAGTTAAAAATCGCCACCCGGCCCGAACAACATTTATTGCCATGAACATAAATTTAGTAGGAAAATGTCTGAAGATAAAATCCGACTTCATCCAATAAAAAATTGAAATTGTCTGAAGTGACCAATTGAAACTTAATAAGTGACCAAGTTTCTCAAAAAAGTGACCAATTGACGGCGGAAATACAGTAAGAATGGTTAATGTCTTTTAAAATAAAACTTTTTCTCTGTTTTTAGTGGCGTGAATTTAAAGTACAAATTGTTTATTTAACAGTGGAAAAATGTTTTATTCAATTTCAGGGTATGACAATGATAGAAGACTTTCTCTCCATAATCAAGTCATCATAAACTGATTTAGAAGACGAGCCTAATGTTGTGTCATCTGATAGAATTGATTCTGCAAAACTTGCTGGTCTGGTGTTGTTGACAATCGATTTTTTACTTTTTTTATGATTTAATTTTATGTCTCTCTTAATACTATGGCTTTTTGAATAAAGCGCCATAATTGGTACACACGTAGTTAACAGCGATGCTAGGATAAAGCAAAACCAGAAAAATCCAGTAGTTGCGTTTAATCTTGAAAAAAATGATCCAGCGAGATACCCGATCCCAGACGTTGTGCCTATAATCATACAAGCGATTGTCGGCAATGACAGGTGGTCATTTTTAAGACCATCTTTTTCTGAGCAAGTAAGGGTAGCTTTCTGTAGCTTCTTTGTAGTAACAATCACAACTGCAACAACTGCGCCTGCGATTGTAATTCCTCCAACAACAAGGGCAGATACAATACTCTCAATACTCTGATTTGGCACACCAATCCAAATAAACGCAGGAATAGATATGATTACAGATGTAAGACTTACAATTCTAGTTCCAAATCTGTCACATAGCCAACCACTTGTAAATGACGCCACAGCACACGGAATCAGGAAAGTACCAAAAATCAGATTATGGTAGATGTCTTTGGGTATAAACACGTAGGTCGAAAGCTTTTCCGGTAAGGCTAGCTGAATAATTCAAAAAATATTAAGAGTCTATTCTGGCTCCAATGTTTAACAACCAATAAAGCAATACCTTTAACGCACCGATTACCACTGATAGGATAGTGATTTGGTACAATAACGAAAAGAAATGTAATGATTTCAGAAGCTGAAAAATTGGATTTTTCTTGTTCTTCTGGGAGCGGCTATAATTTGACTCGCTGTCTTTTTCAAAAATAACGGGTTGGTCTCTCAAATTGATTGTTGACATGGAAGAACTTTTACTCCATTCGCCTTCTTCTGTTGCATTCGTCATTTGTTGCATATCTTTAAAGTCATGGTATCCCATTTCAGTTTCATTATCCGATTTCGGTTTCATCCAGCCGACAGGTAAAGATGATTTTTCAATCATTAACAATTGCATTAAAAGACTTGTAATAGAGAGCCCTATTCCACAAAAATATGAAGACCTATGATCCACATAACTGGATATTGCTAAATCAAGAAATATGTGTCAGTTTTAATTGAAATTTATTGATTAAACTAAATAAGTGTAAATGTGTTACCTTCTGTTGAAATTGTAATACGAATACAATACATTAATAAAAATAAAACGTTTTGGAAACCACTGTAATTTACCTCCAACGGTCAGTCCAAATGTCATTCCCAGTGGGTAAAGTCCGCAAATAAGACCAACCATTAAACCCAGCTTACTTAGAGGCCATACGTCTGCTAATATGGTTGAGCTCATAAGCCATATAAATGCGTTTGATAGACCATGTAAGATACTCGCGGGGATCAGCATCCAATGTTCGTCCGATATTATAAATACAGTAGTTGTCATGACAGAAGTAAGAGTGCCTAATATAACGAGTAACTTCCGCTGTTGAAGCATGTATCCCAGCCATCCGTATAGCAAAAGACCTCCTTGTAAATTAAGCAATATTAGAATCATATCGATATACATATTTGCATCAGAAACAAACCTATGAGCCCTATAGTGTGCAGACTCAAAAGTATAAATATCGTAATTTCACTGGTCAGTGATTGGCGAATCTGCTTGTCGTTATTTATTTGACGGTCTAGTAAAAACAATATTACAGGTAGAATAGTGTAGCCAACATAAATCTATCAATTTAAAATATCAATAATTAGTATGCTGCTGGTTATTGTTTTTACTTTAACAAACACTGGTAAATATGGTAAACGCTGCTGTAATTATGACATAAGGATCAGATGAGCGATATCTTGCGAGAAAAGGGTACCTAGTACTTGAACTAGACTCTTCGTCTACACCTTTTGTTGTGCTTTGATTATAAAGTTTTATGATTCTCAAGATATCCTCGTTACTTTCATGCACGGCTCCAGAATTACTGATCATTTTCTGATTCGGCAATACAGTGAATAGAAAAGTATTTATTTAAGGCTTGACTGGTCTCAATAACAGTCTATAGCAGAATGCATTTAGAAAGAGAAGAAAAATAAAATAAAATGTATCTCCAATCACCGTAATGAAGTTCTGATACGTTTACATATTTTTCAAGTTAATTTTTAAAAACGACTGAGTCAGTAATGTTGTGTTGTGTAAATAAGACAACGGACGTGCATCAAATCTTTTAAGTAAATCTTTTCTTTTAAATCACGCAATATTTATTATTACAATCACTGCATCCGGTGTTTAGTGAAAAGTATACATACTTATTACAGTACGACCACTTTTACAATTCATCTTTAACATGCTTCCCGCCAGTAACATCCGGCGTCTCATCATTGATATCAGAAGGTGCAGATATAATAATTTGATCATGATTGATAATAGTGACAGGAACAGAATGGCTGTTAGCCACCTGCGCACGTAATTTATCAATTTTATCGTCATAAGACTCCCATTCAGGAATTTGTCGACGAGCACGGTCCAATTTAGGCTCTTTGGTTAACGGATTGTTACACTGGTAGTTTTCGTTAGTAAGTTACGAAACACAAATTTTTTTCGTCTTACCAAATCAATTGTTTTTGCAGTTTTCAAACTTTCGTCACTACACCAGGTCTCGCACCAAAGCCATTCTTGAGGAAGCGAAAAAATTGGAACGATATGTTGCATATTATTTGGTAAATCCTGATCAAGATTAGCAAGGGAGTTTGGATCGGCACTAAGTTGTTGGTATTGGGAACGAAGACGATCACCAGCAGCCAGTTGACGGAAACGGACAAGGTCAACAACATAAAGGGCACTAGTATACAAAAGTTAATTAACCCAATCATTAGTTTCATAATATCCCCTACCTGATATGATACGGTCTTCCTCTTAAGTGGTTTTTCCAATAACCTTCTGACCAAAATCTAAATCCATCCATTTCAGTACGGTCCGAACAGAAAGGCGTGTAGCCATATGGTGCACCTTTAAGATCCATATCCACAAGCTCTTTAAGGTCAGCTCTTACAATCTACACAGCTTAAACTTTAGACAAGTAACAAGTTTTTCTTTACAGAGGCAGCCTACCTGATCAGCATCAACGAATATCACTTTATCTAAGCTTAATGGAAAAAGAACATCCAAAAACAGAATTTTATAGCCCCAAATGGTTCTTTGCTTTTCATGTTGGGCTCTAAGCCATGATGGCCATTTATAAGTAATCATTTCATAATCAAATCCATATTCTTTAGCCATGTGAGGTACAAAGTCCTGTAATTGAACTGTTTTAGCGGTTTCATTCAATTAATAGCATCGTGGTTTCTTACCTTAAATTCAGGGGAAAGAAAGTTTTCAATAAACCAAAACTTTACGGAACTGTTGGTATGTTCCATAACAGACGCAATCATGATGGACAAAAATCTTTCATACAATTTTCCAGATGCTACAGAAAAAATATTAATCTCAGCCTGTTTCTGTTGGGCAACTAAAGCTGTGTCATTCTGACTATCCTTCTTTCCAAAAAACCTTAAATTGAATAGTTAGTTTAAAGTCACTAGAAGTCTTTACGTTTCATATTACTTATTGGAGAGAGAGGACCATAATCCATCTTCTTCACTGCTCTTTTTGTCTTCGGCCGTTTCTAAAACATCCTCAGTTTCCATCCCCGGGTTCTTATGAACAAGTGGCATGACAGTTAAGCCTTCGAACGATGTTAGGGCTAACACGCTATTATCTTCTTTATTTGCAGTCGCATTCCAATTCCATTTTCCTTTGGTACCAATGCTTTCTATGGAGTAAATTTCGGAGGAGCGACCTTTACGGAGACCCAGATTCCAAATACCCGGGCGAGCTTTCAATTGGAAGTATCCTAGATTAGCCATAACAAGGGTGTCTTTTTTCTCATGATTAGGGGAGGAGATTTCAAACTGAAGTCCACGAGGAGGTGATCTGGTGGTGGAATCAAGACAGTGTCCCTCAATCAAAATACTTTCAAGTTCATACATTGCTGAAACACCCAGTTGGTTGTTCTTAAGCGAAGTAAGCAAAATATTATCCAGATCCATGTTAGCTTCCCTAACTGTTACATGCCAAGCGTTTGTAGTTTCTACACCAAGAGTATAAAGTGGGTCAACAGGAAGATCTTCAAAATAAGCGGTAGGAACAAGTTGATCTCCAGTTGCTTTATCAAATCGAAGCTCTTTATCAAACACATAACGATAGAAACGTTTCAATGGCAGTTCACTTAAGTCACTGTCAGGATTTAGGTAAATAATAACAGAAACACCATCAATTTCGGAAAGAGCCTGAATAATAGGCGTCCACTTTTGAGCTGCTTCACTGAGAGGATCTATAATCATCCCAATCTCTAAAAACGTATTTTCCGTATCGCCTGCAACAATTCGAGAGTGGGTATCACCCTGAATAAGTTGGTATATTCTGTTACGATTGACAGGATCGGTATCTTCAGTCATACTGTTTTTCGCTTCATTCTTATCGTTTTCAATCAAGGCGGTAACCTTGGCAAGCACATCAGCATAATGGATTTGTTCGTTAAATTTGTGTTCGGATTCAAAAATCGCTTCCTCGATTGGGCCAATTCTCTTGGAGTATTCAAAATTAAAAAGACTAACAAAGTTCTCCTTGGTAAAATCAGCATCATCAGGCAGAGAGCCAATGACCTAATGTAAACCCATAAGATTAGTAATTATCTTTTAAATTAGGTTTAGACTTACTCTCCCGTTAATGATAACACCAGAGAAAGGATTTTCAAGTCCATCCTTTTCGAACAAAGCACTTAACTTATTCCATTCGTTACTTTTTTCTTTGGCAACAAGTTCAATAATAGGTGATCCCGGTGTAACAGCTTTTGGTAAATCTTCCGTAGATAGCCTGTTATCACCGTGTGTTTCGATTTCACGATATAAAAGGTTTTTCAATTCAGTTAGACCAATTTTTTGTGAGTAAATAACGTCAAATAATAAATCAGAAAAATTGAGCTCGTTATCCACATTTAAAGCTTGGTTTACTGATATGTCGGGATTGTGAGCTAGTGAGATTCTAACCTTAGGGTTTGATTCCTATGTAGACAACATAATTAGCTCTTAACTTTACTGAGTTTCTTCTAGCTTACAGCAAATAGTAGTGCTTCATGCGCAAGTTTTAAACCGGACAAAGAATTAAAGTCAGCCAACACCCAGATATTTGTGTTCGGTATTTCGTCCTCATCTATATGAAAAAATGGGTGGTCGGTACAAAAATTTGGTGTATTACTTCGGTACTACTTACTAGCTTGTAGGTACTTTAGTTTTTCTGCATTTTGTATATTGCTAAACTCGAGTATACGAAGAGGGTGAGTGTTTGACGGCATGATGAATGAGTTACGAGTACGAGCAACATTAGGCTGTGTCAAGACGTGATCGTAAAAATCATAATCATCCGTTAATTGACCATTATAGACCTGTTTTATGAAATATTTAGTTGATGTCTAATTTGAATTCAATACTCCCTCCATACCATTGATTGGATAATTTTCGTTTGTTCAGTTAAAGTTGGCATCAAGACATGCACCCAAGGCTATATTAGCATAGTTAATACATGGCAATCCTGATTGGTCGTAGAGCCTTACCCTATCCTCGTTAAACTCAATAAGTTTTCCATTCATGAACATGACGCCATTCTCCACGCCAACTTCAGTTATACCCAAACGCTTTAAAAAATCTTGACTAGACTTAGCGAATGAATTTTGTGTTTCTAAAGCTTCCTTAAAAGGCTTTTTGACATTGGATTTAGGTTTTCCAGACACGGATTTTTTAAAAGAAGCGTGAACAATGTCCATGGTAGGTTCTTTAATTTGTTCGAGTTTCGTCGATTCCAAAATCTAGAGTTATCCATATTTTAGGAATTGATAAATTCATACAATTAATTTATACAAACCTGTGCCAGAAAAAACATTCCTTGAGCTTTTCCGTACTCTTCAATGAGATAATTTAGAGCTTTCGCAATAACAGTGGCTTTAAACAAAATTATTAGCTCGTTATTCAATGGGGTTAGTTAAGTAAAGCTTACATGTGCTATATTCATCCTTAACGATGGAAACAGTGCCAAATCGAATAGGAATAGTACGTTTAATCATCATCTGTATCTCGTTTATAATGCGATTGAGCGATTCAAGTTGCGAAAGATCTTCGATCAGAATCAAGTTGAAAAGATTCTTTTTAACTGGTGGTAATTGTCCAGGGTAAGCAGGTCTAAGATACTACATTATCAGAGTTAGCGAACTATCTTTAAGGTGTCATCGCAAAATATACATTACTTCTTGCATATTCGAACTCCATTCTTGATATCTTGAATCTTTTTCCAAATCATTCCACCATCTCACAAACGGCTCCTCTAGTGTATCTCGAACATCGTAAACCCCATCAGCAGTTTGAACATTTGATCTACTTGCCTTGGCTAATACAGGGCTCGAAATAATCTGTATAGATTCCTTGGCATTAAATCCAAGATCTTGCATGGATTGAATCAGTTTACGTTCAGTTCGTAAAGCGCGGACAAGGCTGTACAGATTGTTGAGTAAATATCATAATAAAGTTTTCTCAAAATTTACATACTAAAATGGGTCGACCTGGTTAAAATCCAGACCTTTTCCGTTGAGCCAGACAGCATTCGAACCACCGCGCAGAAAAGACGCTTGATTTTCACTGATTTCCTGCTCAAAATCCCTATCTAATTCAACATCACTAAGACTTTTCGCATATTTGGGGAAATCTTGAGATAATCTAGTCAATGTTTCCAATGGATTCGAAGATTTTGCTACATATTGAGCAGCTTTTAAACCAAGTGTCTGAATTTCGGTTGGAGTTAAGGGATTGATAGTTGCCTTTTGACCTGCTTGGAATAGGGTTTGACCAATTTTCTTGCCAATGTTGGATATTTTATCTTTAATCGAGCTTTCATCTTAACAATTTTTTAGTATTTTAGTATTGCTTAAAATAGAGCACAATACCTTTGGAATTTCTATCATCTATTACAAGATAGTCGGTCTTTTTTAACGCCATTTCAACACCATAACCAGAAAGATATAGGGGTGCGCCTGGAGCCACATTTGACAACGGTGGTCTGTATCGAATTACATAGGTAATATCGTGATCGACAACTGCCTTTGTTAAGTAATTATGGAACTCAGCGAACTTGAAGGAGAATTTGCTAGTGTAAAGCACAATCGTTTTTTTGCTCAGTTCTTTAGAAGTAGGGTAAATAGCATGATCGAAAGAAAGCAGCTTACGGGTTTCTTCCCAATTTTCAATGTCCTTAAATGCTTTCAGGAACTCTTGGTAGTCACATAATTGTTTATTGTTGACCTGAGCCCACACTTCACATCCATCGTCGTATGATGCCAACGAAGGAACAACACTTTCTGTATAATATTGATTATAAGCTTCGATACGAGGAGCCGCTTCGTGTACAGCCAAAGCAATTTTTAAAAAGTTGGTTTGGTCTTTGCCCAAAGATGAGACAACATTTATGGCTTCGTTGTAAAGTTGTTGGTCCGTCCAAGATGAAGCTTCTTTCTCAAGAGAAATGAATTCCTGAATCATATTGAAATAAGAAGTCTCATTATGCGTCGCAACTGTTTCACTAATTCGTCACAATGTCAGTTTCAAACGTGAGAGTCTATTTCGAGTATACTTTACGCGATTTCAATGAGCAAACTAGGTGCATTCCAAGGCGCAACCAAAGTTAAATCAACAACAGGAGAGTCTGCCCTTACTGACAATAAGCAAGCACTTAAAGCTAAGAGACCAAGGATAGCCTTCGTTATCCTAGGAGTTCCCATGTATTTTCGTTTTATTTTAGAAAAGTGTCGAGATGAGTTTATCATGCCCAGATGGGAGTAGCCTTTAATCATAAAAAGAAGACAGTCACCACTCAGAGATAATCAGTTTAAGGCAAGTGTGCTGTCAGAATCCAAAGTCAAAAGAAGCATGAGGTAACAATATTATAATACTATAACTGTCAGTCTGGAGGGTAGTGAGTGTTGCTATTTTTATACCCGAATAAATTAAAAGCACCATGCTGTTGATCGCCTAAGCATTTTAGTGAAATAGTAACCGTTCCTTCGTCCCCAATAACAAATGTTTAGTTTTTTTATAGACAGTTTTCCTACCTACTTCAAATTCCAGATGTGGAGATTTCTGTCCTCTTAAATGTAACTTCTGCCACTAAGCTAACTTCTACTTGTCCGGATTTGAGATCTGAATAATGTACTGAATATTGCTAAGAATACAGTATCGAACTTTATTCAAAATAGAGGGAATTTAGGGGGTATAAAAAATGATTTATGTATGTGTACATGTTAAATAAACAGGCACTGGCATCTTTGAGTTTTTCGTTATACAAAATTTAGGTACCCCTGGTTTGTTCATTAAAGATTTGTGCTCTGGGTTGCGTATTTTGGAAAGGATTGTTGTCAGTATTGGAAGTAATCCTTTGGGCAGGTAGTTCGTATTTGATGTCGAGTTCGGTTAAAATCGATTTCAAGGCCAGTAAAAACCTTGTTTTTCTTTGAAATCGCTTATCAAGCTCAACCCAATTTCCTTTATGAGGCAACCAAGCATTTAAAATAACTTGGTTCATATCTATAATATCTTTAACGCGCAAATCAAAGCCAGGACCAAAGTCACGTGATTGAGACTGTACCCATTCAAGCAATCTTTCACGAAGGACCAAAATCAAGTCATTTTCAGTTCTAAAATCAATATTGAATACCAAAGATTCACCCATATTACCAGAACGACGGACATTGCAGATAATTTTTGTTAAAAGAACAGTTGTTGGAACATACTGTTGTGTGCCATCACCACCGACAAAAACAGTGCCCAAGATACCAATATTCTCAACCCACATGAAGTTACCATCAATCATGACTAGATCTCCGGAGTCATAAGGATGTGTGACAAACTGAAACAGGATGCCTGCAAATAAAGATCTTGCAGATGTATCAAAAACAAAAGTAAGCGCTGCTAAAAGAGTACCAAACGGAATTAAAGCGGCCCAAAAATCAACCCGGAAAATGGATAAACAAATGACCACGGTAATCAAAGAGGAGATGACCAACAAAATGGTGTCAACTTTTCCAAGTGCTTGACTAGTGTCCCGAATTGATTGCGCAAGACTTTTGCGTTCACGATAGATTTGTATCACAGTATCACGAAACTCTCTTCTGGATACATTGCCATTTCCGTCTTTGTCGAACACCTTAAACGCTTCTGTGGCTTGATCATGCTCACTAAAGTATGGTACAAATGAAAATATATCCAAATACTTTCTGTCTTCTTCTTCATGACCGTGGTAACCTTCAGGATAGGCCAAAGAATAGAACAGCTTTCTGGCAACCTTCTTAGCATAATCATCAGAATTGATGTCCATCTTGTTTTTATCTACTCGACCAGTGGTAGCAGTTGGCTTGTCTGCTAATACAATATTCGCTATACTTTTCTTGAACATATTAAAAGTCGAGGCTTGTTCAGTGGCGTCGTCATTTAATGTCATTGGACGAGGTTTTCTACTACCGCCATTTGCTTTTTCATCATGACTGGAAGAGCTGTTATGTTTGGATTCAGGTGGGCCATTCTTGTTTAAAGATCTACGCTTTCTAAGGTTCCGATTTGAAATACCTGGAGTCGATGAGCCGGGACGAGATTTCTTCTCAGATTTACTAAGGGTATCCAAAACTTTTTAAAAGGGAAAATTAGAACAATGGCAAAGTACATATTACAGAAAATATTTACAGCTTAGACTTTGTTTGTTTTCTTTAAGTCTATCCGCATAAGCAGTACGATGAAATTTAACGGCTAATAAAAGTTATTAAAAGTATACATAATCAGGAACTATTTAAGCTTACCAATGCGTTGAATAATCGCCTTTTGGACAAAAAACAGGCCGCTGGCAGCTAATAAACACCCAAATACTTTTGATATGACGGCCGAATAGGAATGCAGTTTGATAGACTAAAAATAGGAAATATATAAATACAAAGCCCGTTTAAAAAAAATATGTTCCAGATAATTACATTAAAAGGATAGTTGATTAAAAACTCCCAGGAACCTAGATTCCAAGAAGCTAGTAGAATCAAACATAAATAACCTTTCAAACTCATGTAATACTATAACAAAATAATAAGTTTTCTGGTTTCATTATAAATATAACAATAATACTTTACCTCCATATACGACTTAACTTTTTCGGATCTTCTACCATGGAACAATTTAGAGAATAATGATACAGTAGATGGTACAATATCCAAAATAAAAGTGGTACCCCAGTAGATATGCCACATAAAGGCCGCCCAATACATCCAACATTGAACGTTACTCCGAATATTTTTGAAATTTGGATCAAGCTTTTGGCTTTCAGTAGGTTCCGGAAGTGTCAAATAAATCACAATGGCAATGATAATAAACATACAGGAGCCTAATATAGCAATGATTACCCTCTTCAACAATGGAGATAAATAATGCCAACAGCAAGGCGTCTTCATAACTGCAGTAAATCTTTCTCTTGCAGTTTTTCTACGTTTTGGTTTAACTTGATCAGGATCATCATCCCAGTTGAATTCTCTATCGCTGTCATGATCATCACCTCTAACGGAGGCAACGGGAGTAGAAGAGTTAGTGGTATTAGCTGTCCCGGATAAGTCTCTTTCCTCTTGCTCGAATTGCTTTTCCTCAACGTCCTCTAATTCCTGTGTGATTCTAGTGGCATCATCGACATAAGTCGTAGGTTCGGACACAATAGTTTTTCGTCCATATTCTGGATCTTTGAAAGGATTTGAAGTATCCAATTGGGTTTTGGTAGTTGTGGAATAAGGATTTCCATTGCTGGGATCATAGAAAAAATTGTCTTCTTGTTGCATTTGAATACTATAGAAAGGCTGCTCATCATTTTTAGACGTCTTTCTTGAATGGCTTGCACCTGGAGGAAGGAGTGGATTTACCAAAGGATCAGGGTTCTCTGCAAAGTTTGGTTAAAAATGAAATGCTTTGTCGATAATTTGATGTAATTTACCTGGTATCAAGTGAACTTCATCTTCTGATTGAATTCTAACTGATTTGCTTTTCATTGTCATATTTGTTGTCAGTGCAATGTGGAAGAAAGAAGAAAGTAAAATAAATAAAAAGCCCAGACTATAAATAAGGGTAAATTAAGTCAAAGTGACTTTGATTTGTTTAATGACATTTTCCCTCCGCTTGATAATAAGGATCTGCAAACCCAATTGGGACTTGGCAGAGCCTAGATTTTTTTGTTTGATAGCCAATCATACTAATCTTGAGCTCTTTTTTGACGTCACGAAATTTAAATTAAAGCAGAGGTATTAAGGGGTTACAAAGATTGAGGGGTAGCTGTTTCATATCACTTTACACTATACAGAAAATTAAATCAAGTGATCAGTCCATTATCAATTATTACCAGACAGGTGCCCGGACCTCTATTTATGTCCAAAACAGCCTTCGTTTGGGTCAACCGCGGGTCTCTAAATTTACAGAATAGTTGTCACCATCTATTAATAAATAGCACATACGGGTTTCACCTTCGCAGTTGACATTTGACAAACAATTGATAACCGCATAAGACCGTTATACTTCATAGAGTAAAATAATATCGACATAAATATAGATAATATATTCAAAAACCTTTATGAAATCATCACGATTTCCAAAAGTAGTACATTATTTTAGAGTAGTGATTTTAAAATTTTGACCGCTAGTGCGACTAACATACCGATCAAATGTTTTCCTGAAAAGAAGATCGCGGTAAATCGATACCAAACTTTATTCGGGTATTTTGACTGGTGGTCTTAAAGCACATATGGCGGTCGGACAATTCCTGCAATTAACCAGTCTTTTTGCTCATTTTATCATAGGGAAAGCTTAACGGACTTATTGAGGAGGTCACAAGGTTCTAGCCGAATTTAGTTGCCAATGCCAAGAGCTGTTTTCCAGCTGGGTGATGGATTGATTGTTATGTGAAAAATAGACTCATCGGTTCTAACGTTACTGACAACTGGCTCGATATCTGGATGGTGTCAATCGATGTAACACTTTACACAGCATAATTATTACAAAAAATAAGGATTCACGCATTTAAAGTTATAACGGTTAAATGTCTTTACTGAAACCACGACCAAATTTATAATTGGATGCCATAAAAGTGTTCTTCCGGTTTATAATGATAATGCTGTCATCGGCCATATGTATGGGTACTGGCGCTATGAATTTCCAAACAGAAGAATTCAAAGCGCGAGAACTGTACTACAATAAAAAAAGTGGGTCCAGAATGCTTTAGTTACCGTGGTTGGGATTGAATTAACTACATGATTGAGTATGAAACTAGTCTGGACCTCTGACGGGATCTTTAAAATTAAACATCTTCATATTAATCTTACACATAACCTCTCTTTCTCTTCCTTCTTTTCTTTCTTATAAAATCTAAATATTACTTGTGGCTGGATCACATTTTTATACATCATGACTACAAATGCGAATACAACATCTACAAGAAAGCGTACTCATTTAAAGCCTGACCAAGTTGCTCTACTTCAAGAATCATTTAATAGTAATGCGCTTCCAGACTCTAGTGTCCGTGGCAGATTAGCTAGGGAATTAAATGTTACTGAAAGAACTATTCAAATTTGGTTCCAAAATCGCCGTGCGAAAGCGAGAAAAGTGGAGACAGAGTATCATCACTACAAAGGCAAATCCGTTTTGAAACCTGGTTGGATGGAGACTTATGCACGCCACCTTACGCCACCACGTTATCAAACAACATTTCGTACAATGATGACACCTGAAAGGTTTGAAGAACTAAAGCAGTACGATAGTCAACAAATTCGTAAAAGACCTCGCTCCGTTGTAAAGGCTGAAAGTAAGCCATTTGACTTTATCAGTCACAGAGCCCTATCGGATGGCCAAGGTAATAAAAATAGAAGATTACCAATGATACAAGTGATTCTTAATTCCTGTCTTATTTTAGTAGCAGAGACTCCGACTCAATTGATTCATCTTCCCGTAAATGTACTCCGAATTGGCACCTGGACCAGATTTGCACATGCTTCGGTGAACACAAATCAAAGTGATTGGGACCTTGTGTGTTATAGTAATCCGTTTGATCGAGAACTAGTATGGAGAGTACAAGCCGAGGGGCATCATTTCAGAATCCAAGCTGGATTTGATGTTATTCACCAAATTAGTTTGGGTCAACAGATTCAGGTAGAGACAGGCGAAATTGTTGGTCAAATTGATATACAATTAAACTTGCCTTTAACGTTTTCAATGTGGAGATTCGATCAAGACAATCAATGGGTTCGTTGCGGCGATTTCACAGAAGACAAACAAGCTACCATGGATGGCCTACATATTCTTCAAGGCAATTATGACGCTTTTAGACAATCGCTGCTAGACCTGATCACATTAGCACCAGAATTGGTTTCAAAAACGAATTTTATACCAATCAATGACTTAACCCAACCACCACCTGGATTAGATGTCTGCCGTGATTTTACAGTTTCTCCGTCTGCCACACCCGAACCTTATATGTCAATGTGCCCATTTGGCATAAATCCCCAACACTTATCAAAAACCAACATGTCGCATTTGATGTTGCAAGCACCTTTTTTTTACCCCAATACAGGTGATAACAGTCAAGTTGTACAACAACCAATGTATTCTTCCGTGTAAAATTGTATATCCTTCCAACCATTTATTTTAAAGCTGTGCTCAAAAATGTAAAATTAACCTACCCCCAATGTATAAATAAAAACTGGTCATAAATAGTCGTCTCACTTTCAGGTGTTTATTTAATTTTTTAACATTAAGCCAAATCGGAGTCCAGCAACTGCCAAGGCAGTGATTTTAATTGCATCCAGAGCAATATAAGCACGATGACCCTTTAAGAAGAAGGTGTCGCGTTGCCAAAGCTCTTCAGCAGTAGCTTCACCTTTAGATACGAGAGCAGCACGCTTATTAAATTTGGGTAAGAAGTAAACTGATTGAATGACGGTAATAGCAATAGGTGCGATGGCAGCGGCTTTCAAGACATTATCAACGAATCCATCATGTCTTACAATACGATGGTTCCAGTTTAAAAAGAGATTAAGACCAATTAGACTGGCAGTGGCCTAGTATAGAATTTACATCAGTTATATGACTTATTACGCGTTATATCTTTTTTACCTCAATTTTATTAATCCAGTTAAATCTGTGACGTCCCACATCCAACTTTGTCCATTCGTCAAGGCTTGGCACGTTGGCTAAAAGTGGTGTCTCAATGTAGCTGAGATTTAAGGTTGTAGCAAACCAAAAGGCATTCAGAAGAGAAAGACCTAAAGTTAGTTCTCGTAAAGAGGCCTTTTTCAATGCTGTATTATGGAGAACAACTTGTATGGCGGCAGCAGGTAATACCACTTTAACAGTAGACCAAGGATCCAATAAAAACTTGGATACCTTGGATTGCTTGTTGTTAAGTGTAGTAAGAATAATTGGGGAGGTGTCTTGAGGTCTGCTCATTTTGTATGTGTATGTAAAAGTAAAATCGAAAGGAATAAAAGTAAAAAAATAAAAAGCCGGGGAATTTATATTCCAAGGGAGTTCCAAATAGGATGACATATGATTGACAGCATTTTTGTTTAATCATATCGTCATTCCATAGATCCTTGGTTACAAAAAGATCATCAATAGCATCATCCACCGGAGTTTATTAGCCGTTTGTTATTCAAAGTTGCTAGAAGCCCTTCCTTATTGGGAACAGTAGGTTGTACGAATAACAAGTGTGCTAGTGATTATGGGATCAACATCATAAAATGTGAGATATTTTATGGAGTTATTTTTCGAGAGCCATATAATAAACTACCCGAGCTAATACGAAAAGACAGAAATTATACAAGATTAAAAGCTACTTTCAAGATATTAAAAAATTTGAATAAAAATTTAAAATCAATGCAATTTAAAATGTAAGATAATATTTTAGATTAGGAGCTTTGAGGAGGGTATCCCATTCTGACGCTATGTCAAGATCAATTCCAACAAGTGTTATCTATATTCCTAAAACTTTAGGCAAATTATAGTTTTCTATAAACATCAAAATTAGTCGATTGAATGAACTCTTTTTGGGCTAACAACGTTGAGGATCTAAAGACAATACTGCTTACTCAAAACAAAAAACTTATCACGCTCACAAACATATATATATAAGGCTGCCCTTATAATTTTAAATATCACGTTTAGAATGTTTACTTCTTCAACCTTTGGCGCTATTTGACTGCATCATACCTATGTTTATTGTTCCAATACACTTAATTCAGAAAATATTCGTTCACTGTTGCAAAAAATCGTTCAAAAATGAAATGAAAATCGTTCAAAAATAAAATAAATTATCATTCAAGGATGGAAATAAAAATGGGTATAAAAAAATTGGAGCTCTTTACAAAGTTAAAAATACAATATACTTACATGAAAAGGGTTGAGAGGTGGAGAAATAGAAACAGAAATAAAATATAAAAACAAGTACAGTTAGTTATCTAGCAAGCAATAATAAAAAGCCTTACCAAAAAATGTATTACGGGTAACACCAGCGATAACTGGCATTGATAATTATTCACCTATTCGAGGACATTTTTTTGAGTGGACATGACGTGCAAATCGTTCTAAGATTTGACCCAGTGTTTCTTAAATTAAGAATTATTGAAATTATGTTCAAACAGGCGGCCAAATCTCTGTTCCAAAGCTTAGACTGGAATCCTTGGGTTTGCATCTTGGTAAATAGCGGCCAATATAATTGCGATACTTTATAACTTTTTCCGCACGAGCATTTTCCTTTGTATGGTCTACTAAAGAAAGCCACACTTCAGCAAAAAAGTCTTTGTTGATATATTCTTTGAGATCTCATTGAGGGTCTGCTTGTAATCTATGAAGGAGTATAAACTTGGCAAAATAATATGCATGCTTTGTAGAAGTATGAGCAACTCTAACAAAATCGTGTAATGTTGCCAAGGATGACTGCTTTTAACCGATGCAAGTAATTGACGATTTTACTGCGATAATACAGTCTTTTGTCGGGAAAGATACCACATCCATGATACACTATATAACGGCAGTGTAAGAAAGGTCGTTTCTAAAATAGCATTCACAAAATACCCAAAAAGTCGAAGAGGATCAAAAGCTGAAAGAGAAAGAAGTTTGGTCAAAAGGAGAAGATCGTCTATATATCTCTTGAACATCCGATGATTTTCCTTGATTGCATATAATGAATGTAGGGATTATAAAAGTATTTTATTTTCATTAATTTCGTTCAATTATTATTAAACTGATTTTTCTTTGTGAACTTGAACGATCTTCCTCCCTGCTCTGCACGAATAATTCGAGAAAATAATGCTATCAATCAATAAAAAAAAAGAACTAAAGGAAGTTATTCCTTTGATTCTTTTTTTTTACATTTGCAACATTTTAAAATATACATGATAGCGTTCGTATGGTGAGAGGGATTGTTCAAAAGTCAAAGGTTTTTCGTACGAGCTTACATGGAAGTTTACCCGGAATAATCTGCAAAATAACTACGATACGTATGCAAGTGTTACAAATCAAACATCAAACAAACAAAGTCTCTCCGTGAGATTTGAGATCCCCTGTTATTTAGATTAAATGACATTGCCAAGCTGTTTGCGTTTGGAGCTGTACTTTTTCATTTTTCATAGGAGTGACTTTGTAAATATGTTACACAAAGAAGGTTAGGGTTACAAAACAATTTCCCTACGGTTACTAAATTTAGTCCAGTTTTCCTTGGTGTGTATTTCCTCATCCATATAAGGAAAATTGTTTTCTTTCAATATTTTTTAAAATCAACAAAACGGGTTGTTTTCATTATTTTCATCTTCTTCTTTTTACTTTATTACAAAAAAATGACTAGTTACTTGACTACAAACTTGGGGCAAATGGCTTTAAAAAAGAACTACGAAGGTAAAGATAGATTCAAAAACTAAGCTCCGAATATTCATGAATAATTTAGAAAAAAAGCAAATGGTAAACGCCTGGGAGCTCATCCAAAAGAAGAGTAAGTGTAGCTACCAATTTTATTTAAAATGTTAGATTAACCAATTATATTATAGCTTTCACAAAATGGTATGCCTTGCTGTTGTTGTTATCCATTATCGATTTTTGACGTTTTTTTGTGAATAGGGTCAATAACAAATTAGATTTAAGAAGTATTCCCAATATCGTTCACTTGAATCAAGACTTGGCTAACGGGGTTCGGCTTATCCAACTTCTGGTAAATTCTTGATTTTATGTAAAAAAAAAAAAACAATTGTATTCACACTGTACTGAAATAGGAAATTATTGGTGGAGAATCACTTCGACCGTTTAATCAAAATCCAGGCATGATTTTTCAAAAAATGGAAAATGTGAACAAAGCACTGGACTTCATCAAACTTAGAGGTGTTGCACTAACAAATATCGGAGCTGAAGATATTGTGAACAAGAACCTTAAGCTTGTATTAGGAATGTTATGGACAATTATTTTAAGGTTTACAATTGCGGATATCAAGTAAGAATTATAGATATAGTACCATTCATGCAATTATTCACTTAATTCATTATAGTCAAGACGGTAAGAACGCTAAGGAAGGTCTTTTATTATGGTGTCAACGTAAGACTGCTCAATACGAAGAAGTGGACGTTCGTGATTTTACTTATAGCTGGACAGACGGACTTGCATTGTTAGTTTAGTATAAAATACAATTCATTATTTAATATTAATCTTCTTTATAGCTGTGCATTAATTCATCACCATCATCCTGAGTTAATAGATTTTGACTCTCTAGACAAAAACGACAGACACGGAAACACAGCATTAGCATTTGAAATAGCCGAAAAAGAGTTAAACATTCCTGTAAGTTTTAAACATTTGCCTTTTACTACGTACTTAACCATCAAAATAGAAATTATTAGATGTTGAAGATGTCTGTGATATATCAAAGCCTGATGAAAGATCCGTCATGACTTATGTAGCTGAATATTTCCATGCATTTTCTGCTCGAGGTAAGTGCTTTTAAACCCAGTGGTTCTTTCTTCTAAACAAATCTACGTAGATGAATTTGAGACTGCTGGTAGAAGAGTTGCTAAATTTGCCGATGTATTGGCTTCTGTTTGGGATATGGAACATCAGTACGAGTTACGTGTTTGCGCATTGATGGATGCCGTTGAATTTATTCAAGAGGAATGGGACAATACTGAATTGACGGATAGTTATTTTGATGCTAAAGAGAAGAGTATGGCATTTGATATTTACAAAAGCACAGAGAAGAGGTCCTGGGTAGCCGAAAAAAAGAACATAGATGCACTATTAGGAAATATCCAAACAAAGGCAAAGACATATAACTTAAAACCTTACTATCCACCTAATGGGTTGACTTTGCAAGATCTTGACAATACATGGAATTTCCTTTTACAAAACGAAGCCAAATATCATCGAAGAATTAACAGAACTATAAGAGAGTAAGTGATACCTTCTTCTTCTTGTCAGTTCAGTAGCTCTTTTTCATAACATGTTCATATTTAGAATCAAGGAAGGATTAAGAAAGGCTTACGCTGAAGCTGCAAACGACTTTCAACAGCAATTAGATTCAATTTCTGCCGAATTGGTCAATCTTGAGGGAAGTCTTCAGTCACAACTACATCTTGTTCAAAGCTTGACAAAGTCGTTTGAACCATTACAGGAGTCTTTAAGTATAATTCAAATGTTAGACCACGAATGTATAGAAGCCAACACCGAAGAAAACGATTACACTGTTTATTCATTGGAAGATTTAAGTTTCGGCCTGGACTTGGTAAAAGAAGCTGTGCAAAAAAAGAGTGCCTTTATTCAAAATCAAGTAAGTTTTTGTTTGCTACAATTTTTTTTTTGTTTACTAATTGTTTAATCAGATTGTGTCTCGAAATATGACAAACTTGACACCGGCGCAGCTTGAAGAATTCGAACAAACATTTAGATACTTTGACAAGGATTGCACAAACACACTATCGGTCTCGGAGTTCAAATATGCCCTTTCTAGTCTTGGTATTGTCTATGACGATAAGCTTGAAAGCGTCTTTTATCAGATTACCAATAACTCTGATTTTGCAACATTTGAACAATTTATTCGTTTTATGGTATCCGTCACAGAAGACAAAACTACCCCAGGCCAACTTATGGATTCTTTTAGAACAATGGCTGGCGATAAGCCTTATGTAACCGAGCTTGATTTAAGAATGAGCCAAATACCTGTAAAAATGATTGATTATCTGAAGAAGACAATGCCTACAAGTGCAGTAAATGAATTTGATGGTTATGACTATGAGTCATACGTAGCAGAAATGTTTAACTAATTGTTCAATACTCACTGCTTCCTCCATGTATATACCTATGTTTCTCGATCATACATTTATATGATACTTAGATTAAATAAAAACGACTTCCTCACCCCCCCCCCTATTATTTTAAAAAAAACAGTAGTAATGTTTGATAAATGTTTGCTATACTTAATTGGTCTGACAATGCTATTATATTTGTGCAGAACTTTTCATGGAAGATATCTGGTGTCAGTAAATCCAGCGGCGCTATGCTGCCTTTGCCCGAGTACTACTATGTTTGACTTGGGCTTGAATAACAGTGAAAGCTCCTCTAATCGCCACTCTGGTTTAAAAAACAAATCATGGGGACACCGAATCTACCGCTAAGTACGCTATTATCTAAAATATCGACGCAACCACTGGCCGTATCTAATCAATACGATGAAGCCTTTTAATTTGACCCACAGTTTAAATTTTTTGTGTGACAAACTTGAAAAACCAGAATTTTTCGATTTAACAAGACAGATTATGCTGACAAGCAAGTAAATTATACCATATAAGACTTTACTTTATAACTCTACAGTTAACTTTCTTTAGAAAAACAGACATCGGCGCCTATTTTATCAAGGAAAGCAAAAACTCGGAAAAAACCAAATTCTGTGCAAATATTCTGTCTTTTAAATTATGTCACTTACTGCCTTTTGCAGTCGTTTGTAAAATTGTCTTTATCTCTCTAAAGAACACGCTCACTATGGCTGCTGAATATCGTCCCTTGAACAGCGATTCACGTGATGACACAACCTCAAACAACATTGGTCATCGGTTGTCTCATTCTTCGATCGATTTATTGCCTCAACAAAATCAATTGTCAGAAGCCCAATCACTTATAACAACGATTAATGTTAGGGAGGAGTACGAACAGCAACATGCAACAGCGACACCTTTTAGTTGTGTCATCAATCTAGCTAATACCATTCTAGGAACAGGCATGCTTGCTATGGTAAACATAAACCGGATAAAAACCAAATTAATTACAGATACTAAATTTCGCCTTTCTATTAGCCTTCTGCGATGGCATCAGTTGGTATTGTACCTGGGTTTATTTTGATTTTATTTTCAGCGTGTGCATCCGGCACAGGATTGTATTTCCTATCTCGTTGTGCAGCACGAACAGAGGGTCGAAATGCTTCATTTTTTGCTATATCTAAATTAACATGGCCAAAAGTAGCCGTATTATTTGACTTAGCTATTGCGATCAAATGCTTTGGTGTTGCAGTATCATATTTAATCATTATTGGTGATCTGATGCCGCAAGTTATTATTTCACTTAGTGGCAGTCATATAGATGATGTTGCTTATTTTTTGACAGACAGACGTTTTTGGATTACCATTTTTATGATTACCATGGTACTACCATTAAGTTTTTTAAGAAAGCTGGACTCTCTTAAATACACCAGCTTGGTTGCTTTAGTTGCTGTTATATATCTTTATGTGATTGTGGTGTACCACTATTATTCCCCAAATTATCCACCTCCACCAAAAGATGATATAGAGCTTGCTAGATTTTCCACAAGTATTTTAGGTCATTTGCCTGTGTTTGTATTTGCATTTACGTGCCACCAAAATGTAGGTCAGGCTCTAATTTTGCTGATTTCGATAATTAATCCGTACGCTTAGATCTTTTCAGTTTACAATGAATTAAAAAACAACAGCAAGAAATCAATCACGAGGGTAATATCCACCTCCATTGGCAGCTCAGCTTTCGTCTATGAAGGAATCGCCATATTCGGATATTTAAGTTTTGGCAAAGGCGTTAGAGGAAATGTGATTATGGAATGTAAGTATTTGACACATGTTATGTCTGATAATACTGATATAGTATAAAAAAAGATCCCCCTAGTTACTTTGTGGCAGGAGGACGGCTTGCAATTGTCATCCTTGTTATATTCAGTTATCCTCTTCAGGCACATCCTTGTAGAGCCTCTCTCGACAAAGTTCTGGCTTGGGGTTATCATGGTTCCAGTGGATTAAAAGTTCCGCCGCCACCATCACCATTCAAATATTATGCCATGACAACGTCGATTTTAATATTAAGCTACATTGCAGCAATTACAGTTACAGAATTAGACTTGGTAAATAATTATTTGCCCGCAAAAAAAAAAAAAAAAAAAAAAAAGTATTAATATTTATTGCAGGTTTTGTCCTTTGTTGGATCAACTGGATCAACAACAATATCGTTCATATTACCTGGGTTATTTTATTATAAAATTCATGAAAATGACCCATGGAAACCTGGGAAAATCATTGCTGTTATTTTAGCCTTATATGGATTCTTTGTGATGACAGTTTGTTTGACCTATAACATCACTCGCCTAACTAATCCGGCCATGGCATAAAAAAAACGCTTTTTTAACTTAAAGAGGATCATGACATATTCATGTCGACTGCAAAGCAAAATTACCCTTAATACAATAGTATATAATTGCTGCCATACTAATAACGATAGTAATAAATAATAAAATAGAGTTGTGCGATTGTATGCTGAGGAGTAAATTTTTTTCTTTTCATTGTACTGCACACCAGGTTTAGACAAGTGACACCATGGTTCATTCACGTATTTTTTTTTTTTTTTGTATGTGATTACATGCCCCGGGACAATAGAAACAATGAGCCGATATATTAGATCCAGTCTCTTATGTTTTTAATCCTTTGTCTGTGTACTCAAGACTCTCCACTTTATTTCTCTATAAATACATCGCATTATGTTATAGCATTTAAACTTTATTTCCCTCGTTTTGAACATTTTTTCTTTGATGTTGGACGCAACTGTTGATCAAGAGAATTTTGCTATCCAAGGCTTATTGGCACTTCGTGATTGCGATTCAACTAATGAAAGCAATAAAAGTACCAGTCCTCAGTCTTTTGTTACCACACCAGAACTTAATGAAATCAGTGAAATAACTTCTGCTTCCAAAGTTCCCTCTGATTCATCCATAGAATACGCAGCGACCGAAAGTAAGACCGTTACCAATTCAGCTCCCTTTAAGATGCATTCTCAACAATCTCAAACCCAACAAGCCTATGATTTTCAACAGAAGCAACAAGAATATCGAGACCGACAAGCATATAACGCCCAGCAGGCCTTTAATGCTCAGCAAATTCGTCATGCTCATCAATATCAGGTTGTTCAGCCATCCAACTCCTCTAGCACTATCAGATTACCATCGATTAAGGAGATGCTAGCACAACATCCCTTATTGCATCGCAGCGGACAAACTATACCAATTTATGAAAGTAAGGAAATGTATGCAAAAGATCATCTTCAAAGATATTCCAACATTCAATCTGAAAAAACCGATCGACAAAATACATTGGCGGAGTGTAATAGACAGTATAAGACCCATTGTCATTGTGATAAGAAACGCCAGATTTTAGAAGCTCACACAAAAAACCAACAAAAGCTTCAAAATAGCCAAACCTTGGACTTTAAGGCATTATTACAGTCTCATAATATACACAAATGCTTGGAGAAAATCAAATCTCTGAGTGATTTTGAATTACAGGCATTCTTAAGTGGACTGAGACAATATTATCGAGACGAGTATGATAGGGAACTGAAAAGCCAAAATAAAAAGTGTGATACATCTGATGCTATAGAACCCAGAAACAACGATACAGACGAGACAGACAACGATGATGATGGCAGTGAATATAGACTCTCTTCAGATAACAGCCATGGCAGTGATAGTAACACGGTTTTTATCAATAACAATAACAAGCGAACTAAAGTTGAAAATACTAAAAGTTGCAGGGGAAGTATCGAAAAACCCAGATGGACCACTGAAGAAAAATTGGAACTTTTAGATGCTGTTATCAAGCATAAATCCCTAGATATTATGGCCACTTTTGATTGGAATGTAATCGGTGCAGATGCAGGACGTACAGATAAGGCTTGCAAAGATCAGTGGCGAAGAGGCATTTTAAAACTATTTAGAGATTATGTTTCAAGGTTATAAATTTTAAGCCCACTCCCTATAATAAAATCAATTCATCGTGTAACACAAACACTGCGTAGTAACGTTTATTCGTTGAATGTAAGACTGATCATGGGAATAAAAGATGTATCGTCATTAATTAATTCGTTCCGATAATTACACGTGCTATCAATAGTATGAGATATTCTTAATGTAAGTGTTAACACAGAAATCAAAGAGTCATACCTACACATCGCATTTGCATTTGTAATAGATTATTACTACTCCTCACATGAAGAGACAAAACACATGAAATGAAATGTAAGAAAATGAAGTATATAAAGAGTACGTTTTACTTTTCCTTTTGTCTTTGATAAAAAAAATATCTAAAACACGCAGATCAAAAATAAAATAAAAATGAACAGTGTTGGTATACTTCATAACGTGTTGTCGACAAAAAAAAAAGTTCTGCATTCTTTTAAATCCAGTACAAAAATTTGGAATATCATAACTCAAGAAAGACTTAGTTCATCAAATAGCACCACAAATGCTATCGCTACTATTAAGAATAAAGACTCGCTACATATTCCCATGCTAAACCAACATAGTAGGGAGATATTGGTACCCAAATAAAAAAGCTTGTTACTAATTACTGTTTGTTATAGCTACAAAACATTATATTCAAACAAAAACAAGAACATTGGCAAGATCCCAAGGTAAAAAACAGAAAAAATAATTTCTTTTATGTATATCTTAATTTTTTTTCTACAGGGCGGGTGGTTATATTAGGTAAGAGTTCATTATGACGGTGATTTTTAAGATATTGACACACATTCATTTTAGGATCTGGATGGGCTGGTAATTTATTAGATATATAGTCTAAAACTTTCGTATTCTTAACATTTATTGAAATTTATAGGATTCAAATTGATGAAAGAGCTAGATAAAAAAAACTATGATGTTTCTGTTATATCTCCAAGGTATATATATTTGTCTGGTTATCTTCAAGATATGATTCTCTAATGCAAAAACTTTGTATAGAAACTACTTTGTGTTTACTCCCTTATTAGCAAGGTTAGTTATTGAAGTCTTTCCTCTTTTTTATTATAATTCGGTTTAGTTTTTTAAACTTTATTTTTTATAGCACATCTGTTGGAACTTTAGAATTTAGATGTATTACTGAACCTGTTAGAACTTACTCAAAAGATATAAATTTTTATCAAGCTTATTGTGATAAAATAGGTACATAAAATGCCCAATAAATTTCACAAAAAGCTTGGAACAATATAAAAATACTAATCCATAACTTTATTCAGATTTAGAAAATCAAGTGATCCACTGCGTATCAAACATTGATAATGGTAAGTTACGCATGTATGTACCTGCATTTAAATACATATATACTGATACAAAATTGCTCAAATAGATCAGAAACAAAAAAAGTTTTCATTAGATTACGATAAGCTTGTTATAAGTGTCGGATCGTATTCAAATACTTTCGGAATTCCTGGTGTTAAAGAACATGCATTTTTTTTAAAAGATGTAAATGATGCAAGAAAGATTAGAAAAAGGTTAATTGAATGTAAGTAGTATCAATACTATCAAATTTTTTCAAAGGTTAAAGTACTTACAAATGCAGGTTTTGAGCATGCTTCGCAGCCAGGTATCAGCGACAAAGAAAAAGAAGATCATTTACACTTTGTCGTTGTTGGTGGCGGTCCTACAGTAAGCCTAAACTACAAAAAAAAAAAAAAAAAAAAAAAAAAAAAAAAAAAAAAAAAAAAGCCCTAACTTGTTAAACAGGGCATTGAATTCTCAGCCGAATTATATGATTTTATTGCAGATGATTTATCCAGACTTTATCCAGACTTAATGGATAAAACACGAATGACTTTATACGATGTAGCTCCGACTATTTTGAGTTCGTTTGATTCACATCTTTCAGATTATGCTCACAAGAAATTCAATCGTAAAGGAATTCAGATCAAGACACGTATGTACCATAAAAAAAATGAAAAAAAAAGTGAAACTTACCACCTTGATAGAAAGATACGTTGAACAAGTAGAAAGTGACCATTTAGTCATAAAAGGGGAAGGTCAAGGTAAAATTGACGAGAATTTCTTAAAATGAAATAACTAATGCGTTAAGCCTTATTTAGTACCTTATGGACTATTAGTTTGGTCAACAGGTTTGATGCAAAACCCACTTTTAGAATCCCTTTCTACGGCAGAAAAAGACATCTCTGGACAAAGGTTAGATACCGTTTCAATCCAGAAATCACATCATATTGAAACTTTATAAAATTTCATAGAATCCTGACCGACGGACAATTAAGAGTTATCGATAAAAATACCCAACTTCCTTATCCTAATATGTAAGTCATATTTTCACAACCTAAAGCTGTTCCTTATATTCTCTAAAAGATATGCGCTTGGAGACTGTGCTACCATTAAAGGCAATGATTTACCAGCAACGGCTCAAGGTAAACCATTTGATGGAATTTTACTGACCTACCTATTTATACTATACTCTGACAAAACAAAACAAAACAAATTTAGTTGCCACACAAAAAGCAAACTATCTTCGAAAAGGTACAGTATATTTTAATATTTTCATTTCTTTATTAATCAATTTCTCTAGTTTTCAACGGTATTGCCAAAGAAGGATATGAAAGTCCAGTAAGCGAGTTTGAGTTCAAAAACCGAGGTATGATGGCCTATATTGGATCTTCCGAGGCTTTGGTTGATATGTCGTCAGTTCATCAACTGGCAAAGAAATCAGGGCATTTATCGTGGCTATTATGGAGATCTGCTTATTTTAGCATGAGTATGAACATTAGAAACAAAATGTTGATTCCGTATCATTGGTAAGCACGGTTTATGTGTTGGTTTTTTTAAAAAAAAAACTCATTGTTATAATTAGGTTTTTGACATGGAGTTTGGGACGCGATATTAGTAGATTTTAGCTTAGCATAAATATAAATAAACAACATTTTGGTAATAGAATTTCTTAAGGCATCACCCTTTATAGTTATTTTAGAAAACAAAGCTTATGATGTAACTCGTGATGTGTTTCTAATTAAGATTCATCATGTAAATGTTGCCAGCGTATTTCTAACGAGAATTGTAAACAAGTAGACTTGTTAAACTCTGGTTTGCTAAAGTAGTATATATGCTTAGGAGAGTTTATTTATAAAAGTCTTACTCGCTTCTTTACTAAAATATATCATCTCAACTATCAAACTTTTTTTACAGCCATGCCTCCAGACAGACCTACCAGACCCGCCCATCCAAGGCCTTATCCTAAACCTACCCCCAAATAAAAAAACCTCAGCAGTGTCAAATAAATGCCTTGCTCTTTTGATGGCCATATTTAACAGAATATAATTTCCTCTTGCAATGTATTGAATAAACTTATCCATTTGTCTAAAATCTGCTTTTTTTTTTATAATCTCGATAATTTGTCATTTAAATAAAGCAAGGTTTGTTCCACAATTTCACTCGACTCCTTCCATATTTGACGCAAGAAATATAATGCAAACGGATGAAATCCAGCCTCAGGATATTTTTCTGTAATGTTCTGATAAACAAATGAATAAATTAAAAAATCAGAGTATGAAAAGAAATAAACGTAAATCCCCCCTGCGGGCTTTTTTTCTTACCGAAAGAATTGCTAATTCATTTTTGGCTTGCTTGGCTACTTTCTGGCATATAGATTGGAGCATAATAAGAGCCTTTCTTTCATTGTCGGGGCTAATCAAATCTGTCTGACCCATTACGACGTCATGCCAGTCCATGACACGTCGATCAAAGCCAGGTTCCAGTGTTCCATTAAGAGCCAGTAATCGCAGTGCGGCCATAAGCCTAAATGAAATTTCATCTGCTTTGATAGAGTAATCCCCGGAATATCTTTTCATGAAATATTAATACGCAGGATTTTCCCGACATTTATCGACATTTACCCTGCTCCTTCCAAAATCTGCTTTTTTATTTCCAGTCCTCGCTTTGATTCAACTTCGGAATACAGATTCCATACTTCTTCATCCAATAATACAAAGTTGTAACTGTTTTCTGACAAGACAAAGCCATACTCTTTTAGGATAGCTAAGTTATCATGAGGGCCATAGTTTATATATACTTGCTCCCCTTTTTTGTAAGGGGTTAAGGTTTTAATTTCAAAACATTGCTTTCGGACGTTAAATCCACTATCGATCTACAATATCAAAATTGTTACGATACTTGAGTCGTTTAAATGGTTTGTTTTACCTTTGCTTCAGTCGTATGATTAAGGAAATCAAGCATAGGTGCCAATGCTATATTCCCCCCTTTCGTTCTGTTATCCATCTTGGTCATGTGTATGCAACGCGTATTCACACAAAGCCAGGCCCATTCATATTCCTCTGCACTGATAGGATCCGTCTTTTCCTTTCTGGACTGTATGAATTTTGTACAGGCCAGATAATCTGTTCGAATGTTTTCCTTTTGTTGTAACGTCTCCTCTTTTAGAGCAGACGGCAAATGATCAACCAACACTTTCGCATATTTTACTGGCATCGTATTGAAATGCATTGGTAATAAGTCGATATAAGGTTTCCACCAAGACTGCTTATCTCGTAATAGTAGCACAAGATGCAAAGCTAAAATTTGATGGGAACTAAGCGAATGGTTCGTGCCATAAGTTTTGGATAGGCTGTCATTTGTAATCAAAAAGTCTCTGGGCACAGACACAATCACTTCTCCAGCTTCAATATCACTGGTGGCCATCATACCTTTTTTCAAAAATAAGTTTACTGATGATGCATAAAATATATAAAATTACCTCGGCCAGTATCTATTTTTTAAAAAAAGTTATATTTTAGTACACTCTAAATTCTTTAAGTCTAATTCGAATGCATTACTAGTAAAGTTGGCCAATGTGAGCTTCGATTCTGGAAAGTTGTTCTCATGGAGCCATGTCATGAACTTTTCATACTTTATGTCGTGAATTACTGTTTTATGCTAAACAGTTTAGTTAAGGTTGTTCGTTTCAAAATACTTTGAGTAATACACTCTCTTACCTGTTCCTTTTGATTTATCCATAATTATTTTTATTGAAAAATTATATTTGTTAAAGTACAGTACTTCCCGCCGTCATGAAATGAAAAATTGTTTACGGAATATAAACATCAATATTGGTCATCAGCTGAGATAACAGCTGGGGTAAAACAGACCTCTGGGACCTACTTTTATTGGTCGCTGAGATTTATTTTAATAATCAACTTCCAGATGCTGTGGCATTAATTTGCGTGACAAAGATGTCAAATCTTTTTTTGACTTACGTTTAGAGTTTAGGATTGGAATATCAACTCTTTTGGGGGTCTCTACAGGCCACACGGTACACATCACAAGCATTCTAACGATACGAGATAAGTGCCATTGTGCTAATTATTGTTTCAACAACGTATCAAATGATGTTAAATCATTTACAATCTTAGCAACATTTTTGGATGCAGGACTTGTCCTTTGTCCCAGTCGGGACAAAAACTGCTTGATGGTATCAAATTTGTCTGTGAACACCCTTACCTGTACTCAACTATCTAATTATTTTGCTTTACATGCTTAATTTCTGACAGAATCCAATAATATTGCTAATATTGTGTGCGATAATTTATTGTAAAATAACTAAGGTCAAGTCACTACTTTACAGTGATTGATTTGCACATTGGAATCGCTATACAAACCCCTACTAGAATTTCCTCCGGCTGCATTTTATTCAGGCATAGTCTACCATCTTATTTGGTTCATATCATTAGTTCTCTGCCTCAGTCGACTCGGTATAAAACGTCTTCGCCGGGTGACGGTTGGAAACTAAGCTCACCGGCCTGATTTAGTAAAAGATTTGTTGGATACACACGAACGCCACAGCCAAATCTTTTGGAACTTGTTCCTAACAAAAGTTTTAGTCCTCCACTATCCGAATTGCAGCAGGCTCAGATATTGTTAAACGGCATAAATTGAGCGGCAGACATATTATTGGAAAAAGGAAGATATAACGCTAGGATATAGCGGCATCTTTTCCGAGCAGCCCATAAATTGTTACGATACCATTGTAGCAAACTAAAATAAGATCCCCCATGATCTACACACACTACATTTGCAACCAAAAGATAAAAGTGAAAAGAGTGGGATTTGAACCCACGCCTCCGAAGAGATCACGACCTTAACGTGACGCCTTAGACCAGCTCGGCCATCTTTCCTATATATTAGAAAACATGTATAAAAATAATATTCTAACAAATTTAAAATTTAAAAATCACGTGACTGACACGTGGAAGCTCTCTTACTGGTTGGATAAACCATTTATGATCTTGAGTGCGGTAAAAAGTTCTCAAATTTAGGGACGCTCAAATAAAATGCAGCTTCCAGCTAATTATTTGTGCTGATTTCTTAATTTTGCGGGCGTCCTTAAAGATAGTAAGGAAAAAAAGGGGAAAAGCAGAAAAAAGAGAGGGAGAAGACAGTAAGACAACGTTTACTTACTAAAGCATCAATGGTATTCGCATCTGAATTTTCTCAGGTGACCGTTGTAGGCAAGAAGTAATATTTGACTAAGGACCAAAGAATACACATATGAGACGTCTGAACTTTGACTACACAGTATTTGCATGATGGAAATCCACATTTAAAATAATATTTAATATCTTTGTAAACTATTTTTTACTTATAGGCGTCAACGGACAAAAGAAGCATACTTTATAAAGTATCAATACAAAAAAATAATGTAAATGTATCCGATCTTACCAACTATGTCAGTTCCCAAAGCACTGATTTTAACCCCAGTGACCATCTTTATTAAAAAATCGAAGGAGGTCAATTGATTTTACCAGCGGTCTGAGAGCTGCGATAGAAGAAAAATGATGATATGGTTAACATGCCCATTAGTCTAAAATGATCACTGAAATTTAATGAATATACATTTTTTATTATACAAAAGTTTATATGGTTTTCTAATATGGCTTGAATTTTCTCGTTTGTTTCAATTGGGCAATCTTTGCCTTATCCTCTTCGAAGCGTCTTCTTAAATCAACCAATTCATTTTGTTTCTTTTCACGCATTTGGAAGCGATAAAAGTTAACCAATTCCTTCTTCTTTTTGGCCTGATGTACTTTTTGTGCTTCAGCAGCCTCAGCAGTGATAGAACCAACATGAATGGTACCATCTGACGCTTTGGTCTTTTTGTGACGGACAACCGTGGTGAAACCATCGTCATCCATTTGGTTCATACGTTCTAACTTCTCACGCTCCTTTTGGTATTCATCGGCCTTAAATTTCATCATGTATGAATCGACTTCTTGCTGAAGTTCAGCTGCGTTGGGTCGTGATAAATCGTATGCCAAAACATAACCTATAAAAAAAAAAAAGCTCAAGGTTTAGTTTTTTCATAATCTAGCTGAGCAAGTCCCATTATCATACTGTACGTTCAAATCCTAAAGGTTGTTCTGTAGAATCATCACTAGCCCACTTCTTTTCGACCCTACGCATATTTAAGACTGATGATAAATCCTCTTCTGTAGTGAAAACAACATGTGCTGAAGAACCACAGGTAAATAATTTCCTTAATTCTCTAACGTGCTTATTGTTTTCTTTGGTTTCGTCGTTGACAGCTCTTTTATGGTATTCTTCTGAGGCTGAAGATCCAAAATCTTTATAGGTAATTTGCTCGATAGCATGTCCTTTAAACAGCTTTCTGATGTGACGGTCCGTTGTATCGGCGGGTAAATTAAGAAGGAAAAGGGTACGATCTTTGATGTCTTCGTCAACAATTGCTTTACTTTCATGCTTTCTCATGTAGAAGTAATGGCGAACACTCTTTGCGCTATCTACAACAACAGGGAGGATTTTGAAGCCCTGGAAATCTTCCAAAAGTTTGCTAGACTTTTCTTCAGAAGCGACGACTTGTTTGGCGACGGGGGACTTCTTTGCTTTAGCCATAATTTCTAATTATAATGTGTAAGGAAAAAGAGAGGAGAAAAAAAAAATATGTCAAAAAAAGTGGCGCATTAAGGAAATAAAATAGTCACATATTTAAATGATTTATTCAATTCTTGTTGATAAGGAAGGAGGAGGAGGAGGAGGAGGAGAAGCAGAAGGTGTGATTGGAATAGGTATGTCTTCAGGAGTGACATCCGATTTAACTCTTTGGTAAATGGTACCAATAATTTTTAACCCTATAGCTCTATTTTTCAATGTTTCCCTGGATACAGTGGGATCAGTCAAAACTCGATCACATACTTCCCTCAAAACGCTCTCAACCTCCAACTTGGAGCCTCTCCAAATGGCTTGGAGACCCTTTAAAAAAGTGTTAAGAAGATAACAAAGAAAACACTTTTTTTGTAAGCTTTTACCTTGGTTGCAGCTTCCGTTTCCAACTTGACACGCTGTTCATCCGTTAAATCACCCTTTTCTTCGGCCTTTTGAAGCTCACTATAACTTGATTGAAGATCAAGAGCAGAACGGAGTGTCCCAACTGTTTCACTAATTATATACCCCTTTTCTTTCATCGAATGAAACATGCCTCCTAAACCAAAGGCAAATCCCTTGTTGATATATTGGGTGGCTTTTGTCAAGTAAGTATATCCAATTGCATTTAACAGTTCTACACCATGACTTTCGCGTTTTAAATCCTCTGCTTCTATTTGAATAATGTTTGAAAAGGCAGCATATCTTGCGTCTTCTGAAATATCATTAAGCTCAGTGTATAAGCTCAACTTATTAATCAATTTGGCCGCTAAAGACTCAACGCGACTTTCTCTAGCTTCGGCACGAGCTTTATCTAATTTTTGTTTTTTTTCATCACGTTCTGCTTTTTGCTCAGGTGTTAATGTCTTGGGGTCTATTTCATCAGCGCCTTCTTCATGTGTCTCTAATGCGTCCCTCATATCTTTTCCAATGGATATTTCTCCAATGATATCAACAAATCTATCTCCACCAAACGCCTGCTTAAAGAAATCCTCAGGGTCAACTAGTATAAAAGTTTAAATAAAAACGTGTGATGCCATATAGACCACAACTACTCTACCGAAACCGCCATCTGGTCTGACACCATTCTCTTCTCCAAATTCATTATATCTTTTTCTTAATGCAGGATCCGATAGAACCTGATATGCTTCTGATATTTTTTTGAACTGATGAGGGGATTTGAAAAGGTTAGGGTATGGAATAAACGTTTTTCTGTCATTGTTACTTTTTCTTCAGCAGTCGAATCGTTGGGATTTTTGTCAGGATGGTATTTGATAGCCATTTTTCTGTATGCCTTTTTTATGTCGTTTTGTGTGGCAGAAGGTGTTATGCCAAGCGAATCGTAGTATTCCGTCGAAACTGGGTTTTCATCTAGGGATCAACGTTAGTCCATGCCAACAAACACAATGTTTTTTTTTTGATTTACCTGAACCCTTTTTTCTTGACCACTTTGAAGTCGATCGAGTTGTTTTTACTTTTGTGCCTGTGGCATCCACCTCAAAATTTGAGACAGTCTGGCAGGACCAACATTGTACTTCAACCTTTTCGTTCTTAGTACCTGGAGCAGGAAGAAACTCTAAGGGGGAAGAACATTGTTTACAGATCGCTTGAATGTAGGGTTCGGGTTTTCGTGATGGATAATAAGCCATTTCTTATAAAGAAAGAAAAGATGTTCAATAGCGCTGAGTGTCAAATTTGCATTTAAGTACTGCAGTCAATGAGGTCGTTGTTGTAACCGTACCGGAAACCCATGGGGTAATTAAATCTCATAAATATGAACTATAAAACAATATGCACAATAGATAATTGTATTTGTGTTAACCACAACTCTTCAGCACTCAATTTAAATCATTATTTATACTTTTAAGTGCTGATGAATTATAGTGCATGGATAAAATAATCTTTGTTCTTTAACAGATAGAAGTTACGGTAGTACAATTTTGGCACATGCGCACTTGGAAGCGTTTATTTTTGAACAATAAAGACATTTTTTAGTGCGTTTCTTATAATGTTGTTTATGACGAAAGGAAACGTAACAGTCTACTTAATGCACGTGAGAATATAATATGAAATAAAATCTAATTGTACTCAATGCTTATCGTTTCAGTGGTCATGTTGTATGGAAGGTGGATCAATAAGAAAAAAAAAAACGTCATGTTTTGTGCGTTTTTTTTTTTGAGATCCGATTCCCAATTTTGCAGCCAACAAGTTCACAATAGCCAAAAAAAATCTTTTTTTATTTACCCTAACCAAAAAAAAAAACGATGGACCGTAACAATCGATTCTCACCTTACGACAGAGCACCTCCAAGGCAACAAGGAAACCAACAGTATGGAGGAAATAACCAACAATTTCGACGTGATGACTATGGAGGAGGAGGAGGAGGCGGTAGTAGTGGTGGCGGCGGCGGAAGAGGAAGAGGCGGCGGAAGAAGAGGGGGTGGAGCCATGAGAGACAATCATAGAGGAAGACGTGGTCATCATAATAATAATAATAATAATAATGATAATAATGAGCGCTATAATGACAATGGAAGACCACCATTCAATAAGAGGCCTGAAAGACCCATGTACGGCGGTGGCAATGGTGGAAACAACTTTCATAAAGCTAAGAATGAGTATCAAGAAGAAAGCAATCAACAATATGGTAAGACATGAGGGATAACACACACACACACACACACACACACACACACACACAAAAGATAGAGAGAGAGAGATAAAGAAAGAGAGGGAGTTTAAGAATCAAGACACCTTAAAGTCATGTATTTTAATACCTATGTTATAATAAGGTTATGAAGACTACGATGAAAGTGCTCGTTTGCCTCCTCATATTGAAACAAGAATTGCCAGAGAAAAGCCTTGCAGAACATTATTTGTAAGAAATGTTCAGGTAAAAAAAAACACAATTTATTTTTATCATATCACGTCCTAAGAATCATAAATAGTATACAATTCCTGAGTCTGAAGTCAGATCTTTATTTGAAAAATATGGCGAGGTTAAAGATGTCTTCAATTTGATTGAAAATAGAGGAATGATATTTGTCACTTTTGTAAGTCAAAAAAGTATAACTCATAGCCAATAATTACTCATACAAATTAGTATGATGTTCGCGCTGCTGAGGATGCGAAAGAAGCCATGCAAGGAATCTTTTTGAGTGAGAGAAAGATAGATGTTCATTATTCATTGCCTAAAGAGGAAGAGGAAAAGGCCAGATGCGATAGAACAAAGAACCAGGTAAATTAAAAAATGAGAGACCAATTAAAATCGAACTTAATTAAAATACTTGGATACAGGGTACTTTGCTTTACACACTCAAAAATACCAATGCTGAATTAGATGATTATGAGCTGAATGCTTACTTCTCTCAATATGGTGAAGTAAAGGCTATTCGTGTACCCCACTTTAAGAAAACATCTGCAAACACACCTAGCCATTTTGAGAGGTATGCGATACACGAAAAATGGAATGAACAAAGAAACTGATAGTTCATTAGAAACCAACAACGTCTTGTTGAATTTTACGATTCAAGAGCTTGTGTTGATGCATATGATGCTACTGTGGATAATGAATATAAAGGAGGTAAATGGGATGTTGCCTTCTTCTGGGATCATCCTTACAGGTAATTTATTCAATTACAAATAAATATTAGACAATCAATTATATTGACAATTTATATGTACAGGGAACGGGCTAATGCTAATCAACGAAGAGAAAGAAATTTTGATAGGGATGCTCGCGATGATCATCGTGGTCCCCCAGCTGGAGGCAGACGTCGTAGTGACGTTTCGACTCAAGTTAAATATGAGCCCCGTGATCATTATGATAATTTCAATTCAGAGCCCATAAATAACAATCGTGGTTCCTATGGCCAACATCAACAGCAACAACAGCCACAGCAAATGGATCCTAGATTGTATAATCCTCAACAACATATACCTGTTCAATTGCCCTTACAGACGGCACCTCAATTAGAGCAGGCACAGAAAGCTCAACAGATTTTATCCATGTTAACCCATGGCCAACAACAACAGCAGCAGCAGCAGCAACAGCAGCAACAGCAGCAACAACAACAACAGCCTATATCTCCATATCAGCAAAATCTTACCTCGCCTTCTGTACCTACGCAACCACATTTATTGCAGCAACCATTTGTACAGCCTGTTCCTCCTACAGAGGATCAAGCATCTCAAGTCCAACAGTTGTTGGGTTTATTGGTAAATGTCTTTGATAAATAATCTTGAATTAATGATTGACTTTTGATAAAAATTAATTAGAGTCAGGCTGCAGCACAGCAACAGGCAGCACAACAACAGCAACTGCAACAGCAGCAACAACTAGTTCAGCAGCATATTTCACCACCCATTCATAGCCAAGGTGTAGCACCTATTCCAGGTATGGATCCTGCCACCGCCTTGAGTCAATTAGCTGCTTTACTTCAACAGCAACATGAATCTCCTCAGCTTCAAAATCAGAACCAAAACCAATAAGTCAATGAGTTCTTTAGAAAATCCAAAAAAAAAAAAAAAAAACCCTATTATCATTTTTTTATTATGAGTCCACCCATCTTTTTTTTTTTTTTAAAAAAAAAAAACCCAAAAAATCACATGTATAAAATCCATGATCATTACACATTATAATTTATCATTTTGTTGTCATTTTACTGAAAGTGGGGTTTAAACTATTTTGGTCTTTAAGGCTCAACAGAAAACTCATTTGAGCTTATGACTGGTTTGTGTAAAAATAGATTTCGCATATATATATAAAGCCGTTCTTCTTTTCCGGTCAATACTCTTCTTTATCGATAACATAAAACATAATCATGTCAACTTTACCACCACCAGTTCCTATCCATAAATCACCTTTACCTGCATTAAGCAAATCCATACACCATAACAATGATAAAAAGGTGTCTTATCTAGGTCGAAAAAGACACGGCGAGCTGCTTGCAGATGACGGTTCATCCAGCGATGAATCCGAAGCCGATAATTACAATACAGAAGAACACAAATTTTGGCAAGTCCATTCCAGCACAACGATTATTTCGCCATCCGGACACGACTATAACACCTCTATCCAAATGTCCTATGTTAGCCCAAAAAATACAAAGAAGCAACGAATCTCGCTTGCGATCCAAGTCCATAACATCCTTGGGTCAACGTTTGATGCCGTAGACAAGGAAATCGAGCAAGAATGGGAGAGTAGCAGAGTTCAATTAAGAAAATCTTTGATTATTCTTCCCAATTTATCATCCAATTAGTCATTTTGTACATACCCCCATACACATATTACATTGCCATATTATTCATAAAGAAACCTAATTATTATTAAACCCTTCATTTTATTTTATTTTATTTACGGCATTTTTACCATTTACAGTACGTTACACGTATTCTACGTTCAGAAAAAAATCGTCTTTCCGGATAGCTTGGCAGTCTTACTAAAATCCAACCGGATATATTATGACGTAAAATAAAGCCTTGATATCTCAGGAGGTTGTAAATAGAGTCATGGGAAATTACATACCAAAGATAGAGATGGCTTATAATTACTTTTTTTTTTAAAAAAAAAAAAATCTCTGGCAATTTAAAAAGTAAACCATTGTTTCTAATTTAAAAGTAAGTTAAAATATAACACTAATGAACTTAATAATACACTAATGATGGAATTTTTTAATGACCCCTCCCCCACTTCTTTACAATAAAAAAAAAAAAAAAAAAAAAAGAACTGATGACAAACTATTAATCATTAGGAAAAAGCTTATCGCCACAAAACATATCTCAGGTACATAATATTTTTGCCTCCTAAAAAAAAATTAAGCTCTTGTATAACATACAAAGCACTTATTGTGTTCGGTGACATGGTGCTTGTGATACATGCACAATCATTACATCAAAAAAAGCTGTAATGATCTGTTTAATGAAAATACCGTTCATTAACTCACAGGTTGTTCGACATATTAGGCCATTCTGATTGGTAGTTTATTTGGTTGTTATGGAGGTCACGGTAAAATATGTGCTCAATGCGTTTTCACATTGTTTTACTCAGACCACATTATTTTAGTTGCATTTAACGACAAAAAAATTAAAGCATTACGCGAATATGCTAGACTCAAAAAGTGGACCACTAGCTTTTTTCTTCAACTTTAAACGCTACCAGTGAATAAACAAAGGCATACTAAAAGCTTGGCTTTCACTTTTATTCTTACCGGTATTTTTATTTCTCTTTGGGAATTCAATAGAAAAGCTAAGCACCGTCACTTGATCTCTTTCTCCCAGCTGTATGAAAGATAAAAAAAAAAAAATCGGATTGAAAAGCGTAACCATGACAAATTGTCTTACGCTGCAGAGTAATTAACAAACACTAAAAGTCTATTCAAATGTTGAAGTTAGCTCATTATGAACACATTAAAAACGAGGTTAAAAGTGACAAAAACAAAAATATACATGACGTCTTGAGAATTACACAGGATGACTATATTTGGGCACGGGACAAAAAATAGAATTTCTGTTTGTCGGGTAATCTCAGCTAGTACAGATTATTACTATGCATTTATCATCATTTGGGCTTGTTTAATAATAAATAGTCATTCTTTTTTAATACTTTTCCTTTTTTCTTTCCCTTTTCCATAAAAAAACCAACAAAACAAACATGACCAATTCACTTCCAAATCGTAATAGTATCAGCCCAGTTCGCAAAAATAATAACAATACAATGCCAACAAAGAGGCATCAGCCATTAAAGATCATTACCACTACTTCGGATGAAATTGTTTCATCCCCTACCAGTAGTGTACGCCAAAGGCTGTCATCACTCTTTCGTGCATCTTCTCCTGTTGTCCTTTCCCTGAAAGAAACATTTCACAATAAGCGAATTTCCTTATCTACCGTATCCTTTTCTCCACCTACTGTCACCGAAGAAGAAGAAGAATCTCCTCAGCAGGCCATGGAGCCATTAGACGACTCTCACTCTACTAGCTCCTCAACAACTTCTTCCGTTCACATGCCTCGTTCTCCTATCGATGCCAGGGAGATTTCTACAGTCTGGCAGCCTTCTGTGACCGTCTTGTCTTATGAAGAAGTAGTTGACAAAACGGCAGCACCAGAATTACCAACCCATTTTGCTATAACGCGCTCTTCTTCCTCCCTAGCTTACCAGGTCAATCAAATTTTAGGATCTACTTTGGAGGAGGTAGATGAAGAGATCGATCAAGACTGGGAAATTAGTAGAAACTTGCTACGTCAGTCATTGGTTCTTTCAGTTAAGCTTTAGAATATTGGTTACACACACACACACACACACACACACAGTACATATACTCATACCCACCACCCTTTATATTGTCCAATAACATTCATTTTACATACCATAAATATATACATAAACATTACACTCCTTATTACATAATAAAAAAACTTTGATTATCTAAACAAGATACGTTTCAGACAAACATCGTGTTTGACATACAAATTGGCGATTTTATCGGGAAATAGACGCAGGAAATGTTTATCCATGTGAGCGAAGGTAGTACTCATTGGAAGGGAGAGATACAGAGAGAGAGAGGGGCGGCTGAAAACAAGCCGTAACCCGCAACAACTAATAAGCCTTATATTTCTTTATTTCCAAAAAAAACACGTGCAACCTCAAATTAAAAGCCTTTTGTAAAGTGTCCGACTAAAAATAAGTAACTCCGAATATAAATGAAGACGGTCCTATTTAATGAAAATTAGCACGACCTTCCCCTTTATTTTTGGCTGAAATATAACAAATTTGTGGTCAGCAGTAACTCTTTTTTTTGTTTGTTTGCTTCTTCTTTTCTTTTCTCTATAACATGTTTTCAAAAATAGCTACTCGACTTCGGTCAAAAAGTAGTTCACAGCCTAAAAAGAATGCGTTTCCAGAGGCTTCAACCGAAAGACGTACAATATATGTGAACATGAACATTCCAACAGATGATCTCGACGATTACGGACAACCCACTCGATACTATATTTCAAATCAAATTAATACAGCAAAATACACCTGGTACACTTTCCTACCAAAAAATTTGTTTGAACAGTTTAGAGGGATCGCCAATCTGTACTTTTTATTCCTAGTCATATTACAAATGTTTCCATTATTCAGTGCAGCTTCTTCACCAGTGCTTGTCGTTTTACCTCTAGCGGCTATCCTAATTTTAACAGGTGCCAAAGATGCATTTGAAGACAATAAAAGACAACAAACCGATCAAAGTGTAAATAAGGCTGTAACTTTTACTTTAAATGCAACAAGCTGGAAGAATGTGAATATACCCGTGTACAAAGTAGCCAGATGGAAAAGGTGGCTCAATTCTGTAAAGAACCTCTTTGTATTTAGTAGAAAAGAAGCAGACATTGAATTAATGCCATCCAATATAAATTCTGTCACTTCCTCTTTTAAAAACACAATCAAATCAACCGCATCATTTTCAAAAATTGTATTTCAAAAAAGAGAGAAGCTACTAGTAGAATGCCTTATCGACCTGGTCAAGTACCTCATTCCGTCTTAAGATCGTCAATGCAACAACAACTAAAGCGCATAGAACTAAACGAGAAAAATAATTATCAAGGCAGAAAATCAACCTCAGCCCGTCAGCCTCTTGACCAAAGATGGTCAAAGACTTATTGGCAAAACCTTAAAGTAGGCGATTTCGTTATTCTAAGAAACGATGACGCTGTGCCTGCAGATATCGTCGTATTATCCTCCTCCGAGCCCGACGGTCTTTGCTATGTGGAAACTCAAAACTTGGATGGTGAAACCAACTTAAAAATCAAGAGATCCTTACAGGCAACCAATGAAATTAAGACTCCAGAAGATTGTGAATTGGCCAAATTTTATATCGAAAGTGAGCCTCCACATGCCAATCTTTATTCTTATAATGGTGTCTTAAAATGGAAAGTGGAGAACAATGATTTGGTTCGTACCGAAACAACGAGACGTAGACAAGATTCGTCCCTTCAAATGGATAGTGCTGAACTTGAAACAATTGATGAAACAATAGACAGCGATGATGATGAAGAGGATGGCCGAGAAAGAGTATCGCATGAAAAAACAGAAGCTGTAACAGGAAATTCCGTTTTACTTCGTGGCTGTGTTTTGCGTAATACTGGCTGGGTTATTGGTCTCGTCTTATTCACAGGTAACGAGACAAAGATCATGTTAAACTCGGGAAAAACGCCAAGTAAAAGAAGTAAAATGGAAAAAGCAACCAACCCATATGTAAAACTATACCTGCTTTTTTTAAGTGTATTTATAAATACTAATTTTTTTTTCTATTATTAGGTTATCGTTAATTTTGGCTTATTGCTGATTTTATGTTTGATTTGCTCTATCGCCGCAAGCATTGTCTATGATATTGAATCCTCTGCAAACTTTTTTGAGAGTAAAGAAGCTGAAAGTGGTACAATGGAAGGCTTTATTATGTTTTGGTAAGTGTCGCCTGATGGCAGCAAAATCTAGTTAAAATAAAATACTAATGCTAAAATATAGGACTACATTGGTTATCTATCAAAATATTATCCCTATTTCATTGTATATCTCTGTTCAAATTGTCAAAACCGCAGCCGTAAGAATAAAAAGACAATCAAAATATTGGTCCCCTCTCCCCCCCACCTCCTTATTTTTTAAGATTAATTAACTCAACACCATCATAGGCCTATTTCATTCATACAGATATTGACATGTACAATACAAGATTAGACCAACCTTGTACGCCAAAAACGTGGAACATTTCCGACGATTTAGGCCAAATTGAGTATATTTTTTCGGACAAGACGGGTACTTTAACGCAAAACATTATGGAATTTCGAAAATGTACCATCAACGGTGTCTCGTATGGTTTGGGTGATACAGAAGCGGCTATAGGTGCCAAATTACGCGAGGATGATAATACCGCCGATAACCCAGCCTTTCAAGATTCCGCCAAGATTTCCAATCAATTAGACTTGGAAAAGGCTCGTGCTGAGATGCTGAAAAAGCAATCAGAATTGTTCAACCATAAATATATCAACCCACATTCTACTTTTGTAGACCCAAAGTTGTACGATGATATTGCAGCCCAAGATGAGCATTCTCAAAGTTTGGTCCATTTCTTTTCAGCCCTTGCTTTATGTCACACGGTCATTCCTGAAGTGCCCAATCCTGATTTTCCAAACCAAATTGAATATAAGGCCCAATCACCCGATGAAGCTGCGCTGGTAGCAACTGCACGAGATATGGGTTTTACTTTTGTAGCCAGAGAACAAGATAATGTGGTGGTCGATATTATGGGCGAAACAAGAACGATGAATTTATTGCACGTGCTTGAATTTAATTCAACACGAAAACGTATGAGTATCATTATGCGTTCTCCCAGTGATAACAAAATCATCTTATTGTGTAAAGGTGCTGACTCAGTGATATACGAAAGACTCTCCAAGGACTTAAACCCCGACAACGAAGCTGACCAGAATCAAAAACAAATCAGAGAAGAGACCTTACAACATTTGAGTGTCTTTGCTAACGAAGGTAAAAAAAAAAAAATATACAAGAAATACATTAAAGTCAAATATTCAAGTTTTTTTTTTTTTTTTTTTCTCTGAATCTTTAGGTCTTCGTACACTTTGTATTGCCAGTCGGTTTATCGAAGAAGATGTCTATCAAAAATGGGCTTTACGTTATAAAAATGCTTCAAACAGTATCAGTAATCGCGACGAACAAATTGAAAGCGTATGCGAGGAAATTGAAAACTCATTAACCTTGATTGGTGGTACAGCTATCGAGGACAAGTTACAAGAAGGTGTTCCGGATACCATTGCCGTTCTCGCTGAAGCTGGTATCAAAATTTGGGTACTCACGGGAGATAAAGTTGAAACAGCTATCAATATTGGATTTGCTTGCAACTTATTGACAAAGGACATGTTGTTAATTAGCATCAATTCGAGAACTGAGGAGGAAACAATGGAGCAGATACGCAAGGCAACCGAGGAAGTCGAAGAGAAATCAAAGACACAAAAATGTGCTTTGGTCATTGATGGTGAATCACTAAAGTTCGGTTTAGAGCCCCAGTGCAGACAGGAGTTATTGGATTTGGGTACTCAATGTCGTGCGGTTGTTTGTTGTCGTGTCAGTCCTATGCAAAAAGCCAAGGTTGTGAATTTGGTAAAGAAAGGGTTGAAGGTGATGACCTTGGCTATCGGTGATGGCGCAAATGATGTGTCTATGATTCAAGAGGCAAATGTCGGTGTTGGTATCTCGGGTGAAGAAGGTAGACAGGCTGTGATGGCATCAGATTATGCTATTGCTCAGTTTAGTTATCTCAGTAAATTGCTTTTGGTGCATGGTCGTTGGTCTTACTTGCGTACATCTGAAATGATTTTCACCTTTTTTTATAAAAACATTATGTGGACTCTGGTACTGTTCTGGTATCAGCTGATGTGTAGCTTTACTGGCACAATGATGTTCGATTATTCTTATATCACTTTGTATAATTTGGTATTCACTTCTTTACCCTGTATCATTGCCGGTAAGATAAAAAAAGAAAACAAAACCAAAGAAGCTGCTTTACTAAGTAAATAACAACTTACACCATGTCTTTATTTAGGTGTTTTTGATCAAGATCTTAAGGCTGAGTATTCATTCAAGTTCCCTCAATTGTATCTTATGGGTATTCGTAATGATAAATTTACAACATGGAGATTTTGTTTAACGGTTGTTGATGCTATTTATCAGTCTGCGGTTTGTTTTGGATTACCATACATGGTTTTTATTGGACCAAAGTTAAGCAGTGCTGGTTACGAGACTGAAGGCGTTACAGAGTTTGGTACATTCATTGCTGGTATTGCTGTTGTCGTTGCGAATACACTTGTAGGTCTTACAATTTTCAGCTGGACCTGGATCATGTTTTTATGTATTGTTATTTCCAGTGCAACATTCTTTATTTGGACAGGCATCTACTCTCACATTATGTCTTTCACATTTTATGGCGAAGTAATTTTGTTTGGTGAAGGAACATTCTGGCTTTGTCTCATCCTAACCTTTATCGTTTGCTTGCTTCCACGCTTTGCCACTGTTTACTATTTGCAAGTTTATAGTCCTTACGACAACGATATTATTCGCGAAATTGTTCTTTGTGATAAAAACTCACCTTTAGCCAACATGAACAAGTTCTTACGCAGAGATACTCAAAAGGAAGGCTTTTTTGACGAAGAAGAGGAAGCTTTAAATATCAACTTGACAAGAACTCGATCCACTGATCAAAGAGATCACCCACTTAACTTGCTGGATAGTGACAGTGATATTGCATTGACAGAGAGTAAAAAATCCAAGAAGTTTGGAAGTGGTAAATTTGGATTGTATCGTAGCGCCACCACGGATTCTACTAAGAGTGAAATCATGAACATGAAGACGGGTAAAAGAACCTCATTTACCGGTTTTGCTTACTCCTCCGATGACAACCACGTATTTGACGACTTTAGAAAATCAGTTTACAGAACCAATAGCAATCACGCTTCCCAACCTAATATATCATCGCGTCTATCAATGCTTAGTTTGCCTCCCACCGACGAAAATGCAAAAGAAAACGGTAAAGATTGGATGCCAATTGATGGGTTTAGACTTCGTCAATACGACACAGCGCCCTCTGTTTTATCATCCTCCTCAAATAAAAAGGGATCCAGCTTTGGAAAAAAGATGATGAAAGCCATGAAAAATCGCATTGTTCAGCCAAATTATAAGAAGAGTAATCAACCACAGTCAAGATTAGACACCATCGTACAAACACGAGATTCGTCTATGGATTCATCCACACAAGGAAGTGTATTCGATAATAATACAATGTTATTACCTTTAACACCCAACGCTCAGGAATCATTTGTTGCCCCCGCCATTCCATCTCATCTTACAGAAACGCCGTATCAGCAGACTCCCATTGCAAATATTCAACCGTTGCAACCCTTTTTGCTTCATCAACACAATCAAAGTAGTCACCATGATCCCCAGCAGCAACAGCAGCAGCAACCACGTCGCGGTGATAATCATTCGCCTCCAAATCTCTCCCCATCTTCTTCTTCCCCGACTCACTACTAAAAAAGAGAAACATACGTGTTTTCTCTATACATATATATATATGCACATACACATAAAATAGACCCCTCATTTTTTTCCCCCTTACACCGGGTTTTCTTACCCTATTTATAAAAAGTTGGCTGTAATTTTCCATATTTTATTGGAGCACCAAAATTGAAATATACTCGGATTAGTTTTTTTTTTGTCTGGATATTAATAACAATGTACGTGTTTTGTTAATAGTGTCATTGCCATATCCAATCTCGTATTTCTCATAAAAGAAATCTACATCTAAATTGACTATCTCCGTAGATGGTGTTCTGAAAGCATTCTATTGCTTTCTGTAATGCACATAACATCACATTCGTGGTCTATCTGTATCAATAATACTTTTTCAATTAGCTCCACATATTCCGATGTTTTTTATGTAAGTAACAGGTTGACCTCTAATTATTCATAAAGTAATTGGAAGAGAAAGATGGGGGTTTATTCTGATATGGATATCAATGTAATCAAACTAATGTGTAATAAGGATAGAACGACAATAATAAAACATGTAATAAGAATATTACTATAAGCAAGCATAATCTCTTGGAGTTGGTTAAAAGTTATTAAATAGAATATAACATTTACACTTCTGCAACAAATTTCAATTGTTAAGTTCAAGTTTCACTTTTCTTCACCATGTCCCGTCTGCTTATTTAAAGGTTGTTCTATTTTCTTGCCTAGTACTAGCAAGTACTTCACAGCCATCATTTTGTACCGAATATTACTGTAAACAATCGCACGAGATGGTCGCCTGTTGGTTTTATTAGCGTCATTTTTGTATTGTATATTCTAGCTTTAATCCTTTAAGGTAAAGTTTTAGGTCTATTTGATAAATAAATTTATAATAAACAGGTGTAGACAACTCGAGTTTATAGAAAGAAACTAAATACAGGAAGGGTTAGATGCGTAATACATAGTCCTTTTAAACTCAATAAGCATACCTCGTTTTAGATTTTTATAAAAAATATATATTTTTATCATTTTATATTAATGTCTACGGAGAAGATTGCAACTGAAAACAGCATTACATATTAACACCGTCATAAGACTACGATCAAATATAATATCTATTTCTAATCTGAACTAAAAACGAAGGCGGGCTATATGTGAGCTCAATTAGTTTACGAAAGACCTTTTTTTTTGTACTGTAAATATGTCATAATTATTCATGATGTTGTTCCAAAGGACAGCCAAAAGTTATCAACCGGTTCATTTGTTGTATTCTGTTTTAGAATTGCTTAATTTACAAAGTAATTGGCTTGCATTTTCGGATCTAACCGGACAGTGTCAATAGAACCACAAACACTAAATATACTAATTTATACCATTAACTATTGTCATATTATCTGTAATAATGTATTACATGAATTTCAATATCGAAAAGCATAAATGTGATTAAATATACATGCATTAAATATACACAGCAAAATAAGAGTTTCTCTTCTTTCTTTCGGCATTGTTAGACCCATAGGTATACGATGCTCTTAGTTTTGGCCCCCTCTTCAAATGAAATATTAACTGACGTAAGTTATGGACGTCTTTGTAAGTATCTATTGTTCTATAAAAGGAGAAATGACAAGTTCAGTTCTAATATGTGATAAACTAGTTCATATTAATGGTGTCAGCCAAGACTATTTATGCAAAGAACCCTTAGACCAGTATCAAGGGTGGGGATGGCGCCTCCACCAAACAGTTGCAGTAGAGATGAGGGCTGGTGGGTGACAAAGGGAGTATACAATTAAGCACAGAAATTAATATCGGCATCGCAGTACGGTAAAAAAAAGATTGGTTGGTAAAAACTGCACATAAAGTAAATGCTTCACATCTACAGACGGGATTAGAATACACGAATAAAATGCATCTGTTGGTTGTAAAAAAAAAAAAAAAGTAACAAAGCCTCAGCCCAAAAATGGCAAAAGCTCTACATCGAAGCACCTCTTTTTTTTCCCTTTCGCACAGACATGCACCGTGATGATGGTACTACATTCATGCAAGGAAAATGCGGAATAGATGCGTTGAACAACTTCATTGGTCTTTGTGTTTGAGTCAATGCATATTACGGATTTAATAGAGCAGAGGAGGCTACTGTCTTTTTCTATTTCAATCTTTAAATATATTCCCCTAGTCACAATCACCATCATGAGCCACCATCAATTATAAAGGAGTACAGTCCAGGGAATATCCAAGTTAACTCAATTTATTATTAGACGTAGATCATGAAATCCTACACATGAGAAAAAATGCAGAATAACGTTCCTGATTCCAAACTCTGAAACACATATTCTGAAACGCCTATTTTTTTTTTTTTTTTTTTTTTTTTTTTTGAAGCAAATGATTTAATAGTTTTTTATATGTCTTAAAAAAGCATTGAATGAGATATGAACGAGATAGTAGTGTTATACAAATATTAACAAAAAAATAGAATGGAAATAATGATAAAGAGAAAGTATGAAGAAAAGGGGAAAGAATAAAATAACTTAAGAAAACATATTTTAAGCAGAGAAGAGCTTCTTCTCGAAAGAGTGAAGACCGTGAACACCACCTTCCATTTGAGCAGCAGCAGTTCTCTTTTCGAAACGGACTTTACCTTCATAGACAGCAGCCTTCATTGCGTTGACACTAGGGTAACCAATATCTTGAAGAGAATGTTGTACACCAGTAACGAGGTATTGGATGAACTTACGAACGGAACCCTTATCAACAACGTTACCAACAACACCTTGGGCAACCTTGACAGCATCGCCTTCAGAGAAATAACGCTTGGTAGCAGCGTTACCATCCTTACCACCCTTTTGACCCATAGCATCAATGGAACCCATACCACGGTAACGCTTAAGACGTTGACCTTCATGATAGAAATACTCACCAGGAGTTTCAGTAGTACCAGCAAGAAGACCACCCATCATAACAGCATTAGCACCGAGGGCAAGAGCCTTGACAATATGACCAACGTTACCAACACCACCATCAGCAATAGTGGGGACACCGAAACGACGAGCGAACTCGGAGACACGGAAAACGGCAGTAGCTTGAGGACGACCACAAGCCATGACTTCTTGAGTGATACAGATAGAACCGGAACCCATACCGATACGAAGACCATCAGCACCAGCTTCAATTAAGTTGGCAGCTTGTTCACGAGTGACAACGTTACCAGCAATGACATCCAAAGAAGGATAGGTAGCCTTAACCCAACGGATCATTTCAAGTTGGTAGACAGAGTTACCTTGAGAAGAATCGAGAACAACAACATCAAGACCAGCTTCATAGAGAAGAGAGAGACGATCCTTATCATCAGGACGAGTACCGACAGCAGCACCGACTAAAAGTTGCTTGGACTTGGCAACCTTGGAAGCATTGGGGTAACTTTGGTTCTTGAGGAGATCGGAACGAGCAAGAAGAGCAACAAGAGCACCTTCCTTGTTAACAATAGGAAGCTTTCCCTTCTTGGAGGAGCACAAGATGTCGTTAGCTTGAACCAAGGTAATACCTTCTTGACCAACAACAAGATCAGTGGTCATAACATCCTTAAGAGGGGTGTTGTCTTCGTTGTGGAATTGGATATCACGAGCGGTAACGATACCAACCAACTTACCAAGAAGCTTACCGTTCTCTAAACACGCGTGGGAACATAATCAACACAAATGTTCACACATAACCCTTACACACACACACAAAATCACTTACCAGTAATGGGGACACCACAGAAACCAGAGGTAGCCTTGATTTCCTTGACATCGGCAACAGTGTTTTCAGGGGACAAGACAACAGGATCATTGATGAAACCGTTTTCAAACTTCTTGACATGACGAACCATGTTGGCTTGCTCTTCAGCAGAACAGTTGTGATGGATAATACCAATACCACCCAAAAGCTAATGAAAACTTCCTTAATATCACACACTTTCCCAAGACTTACACTGTTATAATACTTACTGCCATGGAGATAGCCATCTCAGCTTCGGTAACGGTATCCATAGGAGAGGACAAGAAAGGGGTCTTGAGAGAGATGTTCTTAGTGATCTTGGACTCCAAAGATGCCTTCTCAGCAGCAAAGTCAATGAAACCGGGTAAGACCAAGAAATCATTGTAAGTCAAACCACCACTGATTTGTTCATCCATTAAGGCTTCAACGGAAAGACCATCAGGGCGACCATAGGTCTTTAAGGTCTCGTTGGCAGTGGAAATATCAAGATAAGAAGTCATTGTATGTGTTTTTTTTAGGTAGAAAGGATATTTATTTAAAAAAAATTTTGTGGGGGAATTATATCCCCCCTCTTAAAAAAGATTCGCTTTTGAAGCTTGTATTTATACTTTTTTCGATGACTTGTATTACCTTGATAATGTGACCTCCAAATAAATTTTTTCAACATCAGTCATATCGATTGTGACGCTCTTCTTATTCAGCGACACCAAATTTTTTCGTGATAAGGATCTTGTTTTCCTTTTTCCTTTTTTTTTTTTTTTTTCTTTAGACACAAAATGATCTTAGGTTGAGTTATTTCTGTTTAAGGGTTACTGCTTTGTGTTTTTTTTTCTCCAGGTTATGTTTAGAATACTAGATATGAAGAAACCATAATCGCTTGTCTTATCACTGGTTATACAGGCTATCTTTACACTTATTTTATCGCCAAAAAATATAACATGTATATTTGGTCACACCCAAACACAGAGTTTTATTTTTGAGTGGTTTAGTAAGCGAAAAAAAGAAAAGCAGTATATCCGTGTGACTAAGAATGTATTGACGTGTGTTCCTGTTATTTAGTTCAAGGGATAAACTAAAGAGAAGGAATATATAAAGCACTTAAATGGAAATAACGATGATGATAAAATAGCAACCATTGAAATTTATTTTCCATGATAATGAAGGTTGCGCCTTTGGATAAAATATGATGAAAATGATGATTTTATGATACAGGTACTTCTGAATTTATGAAGACAACTTTAGCACACTGAGGATTTTACTGGTCTGATTCATCCCTTATTTTACCTCCAAAATAAACGTGTCTGTTGCAACAAGGAAACCCCCTATTATCTTCTTTTTTGTATGTACTCCTTTATTCGCTTCTCTTTCTTTTTTTTATTTGAAGCCTTTTATTTGTTTATATTCTCTTTCTTTTTCCAATCTCTTTTTCTTACAAAAATAAAATTCTTTTTTTTAATGCAAAAGTCAAAATCCGAACCTAGTAATCGATTTGGAAGCGCTTTTATCCTCATAAATGAATCAAAAAGAAGACAGTCCACAGGTGTAATAAAAAGAGCTTCATCGTGTATCAGTCAATCGTCCAAATTAACTACACAATCATATAGCAAGGTAAAAAGATGAGAAGATCTTCTTTCCTAAACGAGACAACTAACAAAGATATTAGAATATATGGAGATCGCCTGGCTGCTATGAAATCCCCAATATATTGGGTCATGCTTACCTGAAGCCTGATCCACCAGTTGCATTTGATCTTCGTCCGCTTGATCTTTCAAAGCAAATATCCAAAGTACATGCATGAAAATATATATAGAATACATAGATAACGTAACTAAACGATAAATTGTTAATTATAGAAACCATGGTACCCTCCTAATCCTTATTACAATGTCCCCCCCTTGCCACCCTTGACTCGGTCAGGAAGTAAATTAGAAACAAAGATCAGAAAGATCCTTCCAAAAGTACCTGTTCGTTCATCAGATCCTCGGACAAGATATGCACAGTTTCAAGAAATAGGCACAGGGTAAATAAATAAACATGTACACAATAAAAAAAAGTCGTTGTTTTCTCATATTATTTTTTTCAACGTACAGTGTTAATGGCGCTGTTATTAGAGCTAATTATCGTAAAAAACAAGGACAGCAATGTGCAATCAAGAGATGCAGACTTGATCCCGACTTGGTTTACAGAGCTGCTATTTTACGAGAATTACGCATAATGGCGACCGGGCATTCTAACTTGATCAAACTGAAAGAAATCACTTTGTGGAGAGACGATATCTGGATCAGCATGGATTTAATGCGTTGTTCTGTCTTTGCCGTGCTTTGCCAACGTGGTATTCCAGAAGCGCATACGATATTTATTACAAGAGAAACCTTAAAAGCTCTTATATACCTACACGGTAAAGGGTACTTACACAGGGACATAAAGTGTGAGAACTTGCTGTTGGGATGGCACGGTGAAGTCAAATTAGCAGATTTTGGTCTGTCTGCGAACACTAAACATAAGCACAGAGATAGACTTGGTACAAGTAAATGGTAAAGTGTACCTCCCTATAACAACTCCTAAACAACCCCCTAATGTATATTTTGTTATCTTAGGATGGCACCTGAAGTAATAAGAGAAGACTACTACAATGAAAAAATAGACATGTGGTCACTTGGTGTAGCTGTTATTGAAATGATGGATAGAGTTCCTCCTCATTATCTGATCAAGGACGAAACTGAATTATTTAGCGTAATAACTTCTGAGCCAAGTCCTACATTTACCTATAGTTACCCTAGCATGTATATGAGAGGTTTAGTTGCATGGTTATTAGATGAAGACCCAACAACAAGACCTGTCGCAAAAGATGTATTATTAGAAATTGATACACATATTCAGAGACATTTACTTCCTTGTTCTTCCTCTATCGAACTTGCTCATTTCTTGAATCAAGTATTACCTACAGTTAATTAATATCCCATACTCTCTTCTTTTTTTTTTTTAATATATTTATTCCAACAACAAACAAAATTCCTCCCAGCATAGACTTACATCATTAAATATATTTTTTAAATCGTCATATATTCAAAGTCCTAGGCGTTTTCCCTATTTAACCCTTTTTTCTCTCTCTCTTTCTTTTTCTTTATAATGAGTTGGTAAACAAAGAATATCAAATTAAGCACCGGCACATTATTACTCGTTTTTGATACCCCGTTTATTTAGGAAAGGTGTAAAAAAATCAATCAGTAGACTACCACACAATTTGAAAAATAGAAACGGTGGAGAAGGTATTCAATAAACCTATTTTTTTGAAAAAAAAACACGACACCCAAACTTATTGGCTTTACAAGATGTCACTCGAGATCTAGAATACCTTAGTTTGGAATCTCGGTATAAAGAATTAGTCCAGTTTTCAGACGACCTTTGTTTAGAGACAACATCATATCGCGACGGCTTAACAAGTAATACGTATACGAATATGTTTTTACCAATGCACACTAAAAAAAAAATTATCACATCATAGGTATGTTGCATCATCAATTAGAATGCGCAAATAATTTAGCCGAAGTCTATGGACTAGCGGCAGAACCGGAAATGCTACACAACGAAACTAATTTATCCCCCGAAAAGCAGCAAGTTTTGGAAGATTATGCTACCTCTATGGTCTATTGTAGAGAGGAGACTCTATCACTCATCGTAAGTTCTTTAAATGTTTTTCAAAACTCAATTATAATAACACAACTGCAGAATGATTTACAAACAACCGTTATAAAACCTGCCAGTGATTATCAGATGCTGACAAGATCAATCGACAAAACCATCACGAAACGCCAGCATAAGCTAATTGATTTTGATCGTCACAGAGTATCATATATAAAGTATTCTGGCATTACTGACCCAAGTCCCAGTGAGGAAAAAAACATGTTTAAAATGAAGACACAATTTGAAAACGCGGAATATGATTACAACCATTTTAACGATATGCTTAAAAATGATTTGATCAGATTCTTAAACTTGACTCAGCATTTTATTGAACCAGTAGTTCAAAGCTTCTATGAAATTCAATGTCGAATTTATGGTGGCTTTTATGGCCGACTTCATGAAGTCATTCAACATAATCAGAATCTATTTCCAACCTTAAGTATGCCCATACAAGAGGGTTATACATTCAGATTATCCGAAAACAACGCCATCTTAGATCTTGAAGAAACTGAGATCTTGAAAGGATCAAAGTCCTGGGATCGTAAAGGTGAGTCAACATAGATTTTCAAATCATTAAATTTTTCTGACTTTTTTTTTTTTTCACTGCTAGGCTTCACAAAGAGCGGTGGTTCACCGACATTTTCTTATCAGCAAAATGACTCGCCAAATCAAATACGTTCTAGTTTATCAAGTCTATCCCTCAATAGTGCTAAAAGAATGCAAATGCCTTCTTCATACAGTAATACTAGTGCCAATACACCACCTGCTAATAATGATTATCGACCTCCCAATGCACCACCACCTTTAAAAAAGAAGCCTTCATTACCTTTCGGATCTAATGCCAGCAATGTAGCTAGCAAGTCCTCCTCTTTGCGTAACACGTCCATGTCATCTATCAAACAAGATGCTGCTAATGCTTACGATAATGTGAAGCGAGCCAGCACGATTGCAGATAACCATAAGCAAGGAAAAATACCAACCATGTCGGATGTCAAATTCGGATACCAAATGAGCAAGCATATCCCATCGTCATCTAATTATTCTTCGACTACAATCCAAAATGGGCCATCTATGTCGCCTGCAGGCAACGCTGCACCTATCTCACCATTTTCGGACCAACAAGAAGTAATTAAGAAAAAACGTGCTCCACCCCCACCTCCGCCATCAAGAGGCACATCAAGAAAAGAATATGTCGAAGCATTATATGACTTGGCAGCTTCACAAGATGGAGATCTTTCTTTTTCAGTGGGTGATCGTATTGAAATAATTGAAAGATCAGATAATACAGATGATTGGTGGAAAGGAAGAATCGGAAATAGAGTTGGAATGTTTCCAGGTTTGTTAAATTGGTGCTACTATTACACAACATGAATATTAATTTCTCTTCATTGTTTTACTTATTTTTTTTTGACAGCCAACTATGTAAGACAGGGTGCGTAATATCGATATTTTCATCGTTTAAATAAATAATGTCCCATACAAGCCCAGAAAAAAAAAAAGGTGGGGTCCCTGTTCATACACTAGCGTTGAAATGGCTGTTTTAATTAAAAACTCACTGACTTTTTTGTGTCACCTACCTCTTAAGTCAAAATCGGTTTATTGGATTGGTGCTTTTGACGTCAATTTCATTTCTTTTTTTAATCCTCTAAAATATTTTTTTTTCTTTTTTTCTTTTTTTTCCGTTATTCTATTTTTTCTCTTCTACTTCCATTATGGGAAATCAAGCGAGCAAAGTTCTCGCTGCGAGTAACAACAAGAAAAAGAATCAATCAAAGTCGAAACAAAGACCTATGTCAACATCCGTGGCGTCTCAAGGAAATTACGATTGGCTGGACCAAGATCCTCACAGCAGCAACGAAAACATGGCTTTGAATGCTGCTGTTTCCGCAGCGGTAGCACTTCAGCAACAAAAGCAACAAAAACCCGAGATTTCTCAATCTGTCCCTGCTCCGCCTTCACCAACTGCTTTAAAATTCAATAATACGAGAAGAAAATCCATATCAGAATTTTTTGCCAGAAGAAAACAAAGTATGGCCTCATTGCATCCAACTATTGCCGAAGAAGATAGAAAAGAATATGACAGACTTCAAAGACAAGTAAATTTATCGATCAGACCTTCTAAAAGAGGACATTTAAATTAACCGTTCTTAATATAGCATTATTTATTGAAGAGCACACGAAAAGGCAATTTTTGGGCACCTATACAATCTCCAAAGGTCATTGTCGAAGCAGGTACCGGTAGTGGAATTTGGGCATTAGAAATGGCTGCACAATTTCCTGAATGTCAGGTACTGGGGCTTGATTTAAAACCGCCAGTCTTTCAACATGGAAATCCAACCAATTTGCGATATAATCAAACTAATTTAAATGAATCCTGGCCAATGAATGACAATACAGTTGACTTGTATGTTTCCCTTCTTCTTTTAATTCGATGTTTCAGTTAAAACTCCCTTTAAGCTAAATATCCTTCTTTTGTATTAGCATCTTTCAACGAAATATGTATTTGCAAATTCAAATAGGTCAATGGCCGACCTTGTTGGAAGAGATGTTTCGAGTTTTAAAACCAGGCGGCTACATCGAATTATTGGAACCTGATTTTTGGCATCATAGCACTGGCCCCGTGCAACAAGCTTTTCGAGAATTTTTTCTGGAGCAATGCAAAGTCAAAAACGTTGATCCGGAGGCTGCTTGCTCATTGGCTGGAACCATTGAAGAAAAGGGTTTTCAAGAAATCGAAAGAAGAATTCTAGATATACCAATTGGTGAATGGCCATCTGAACCGGGTAACTTTGCTATTTAGTGAAAAACATTTAAATTCATCCACTAAGTATTTTTTTTTTTGGTTGTAGAACTGAAGCAATATGGGTTTATAAACAAGGAAATCCAAAAGACCTTATTGAAAAACAGAAAGACGTTGTATCTACCCAAATGGGGCATCACTCCTTCTGAATACGATTTGGCCGTAACCAGTATATTGGATGAATTCGAAGAGTGTGAAACCTTCTCAAGATTTAATTGCTGGATGGCTAGGAAGCCATTAGAAGAATAGATCCATTGTATATTTCATTTTACCGCATATATTTAGACTTATTAATCATTACCACTACTAATATCATAATATTATCATCCTTTTTTTATTTTATTTTTTCATTTTACTTCATTTATGGTCTGCCAACCATAAATCTCTTGGATCCCCTACTGCAAAAAATATGTAGGCGTTAATAAAAAAAAACTTCAACGTCATAAACATACCATTAGTTCTCTCCGTTACCTCTTTTTGACGCGTTCGTTATTGTAATCAAGTGAAGCATATTCACCATTATACCCCTTCTTTTTAGAATCGTCCAATGAAATATCCATCTTTTTGAGGTTGGTGTTTGCACGAATATCGCGTCTCAGTTGTTCGATCTTTGCGTCATATTCATCATGAATTTGATCATTTGCTTGGATTGTATCTTGTAAGCTCGCAATTTTGGCATCCATATTACCTAATAAACGACTGGTACTAACAGACCAAGCGGCCAATGCTTTCATTGTTTCATCCAATTGTTGAGGTCTTAAATCACGACCCATACTACGCATAACTTGTAATTGACCTTGTCGTTGATCGAGTTTACCCGTGAATATACCTTGATAAAATGCGTCGATAATTAAATCTTCAAGCTCTCTTACAGTGGGTATATTAAGGTAATTTTGTAACAAATCATACGAAAGTGTCTACAAAACTCTTATTTTTAGCAAAGACAATGAAATACTATCATCAATCCCACTCTTACCTGGCTTGTCTCAGAAAGTGTTGCGATAGACAAATGCTTCAACTTTTTAACTTGATTCTCGGTCAAAGAAGGTAATTGCGAAACGTTATCTAAACAACACATGAATAAACTTGCCACAAAATCTAGTCATGGAAAACTCACCTTGATAATCTTTGAATGTGCCATAGAGAAATAATTCTAACAATGAATAGTAAGGCGCGACCTCGGGTAGAGTGGAGGCCTAATATACAGATTTAGAATGTGGAAACTCATAAAAGCTTAGTAATTACTTGAACAACGTTGGGAGATTCGTATAATTCTGTAAACACGTACACACCTGGTGCGTTTAAAGCATCCATAATGAGTTTGGTATTAGCTATGCCCTTAACAGACTTTGACAGCAAAAGAAAAGGTTGCAGCCTGTAGCTTGTTGAAAGACTGAGATTGGTTTCATTCATTCTAACAAAGTATTATTTTGTTGAAAAACAAAAAACGAGATAATCCTTTAAGCGCATTTGACCTACATACATTTTTCGATCTACGCTAAGCTCCGGTAAAAAAACTGACGCTTTACGATTATGTCAAGTGTGACATTTCACTAAACGACTGCAGAAAAAGAACGAGATGAAGTAAATAGACCAAATTTGAGTAGGTATTACTCTATGCTTACACTCACTATAAATCTGCAGTTATACCAGATTAACCAAAATAACTTCGTAAACACCATAATGGTGGGTATCACTATCTATGACTACTGATTCCAACTTGCGGTGCATTGTCTATAGTTGTATAGTTTAAATGAGCACTATCATGTGAGGTGGCAAGCCGAGAAAGTTGTAAATTAGAAGAAAAACTTAGAAGAACAGACTAAAGTTCATAACTACTAGAGTCTGATATTCGGCATTCTACTCTCACTTGTAATGAGTCCCGTTCCTATTTTAAAGAAACGGCATCCAGATTCAAGTTTTTGTAATGCTTATACCTCTTTCTGGTATATCATTTCTTGCTTGGAGTTCAATTAATCCATTGCAACCATCTAAAGGAAGAGGTATCACTGATATTCCGCCTAAAACAAAACGTATCTTTTTCTAAGGAAGACAGGTCGAGTGTTCGGAATAATAGTTGAAACTCTTGAGCCAGCTACAATTGTGCTTTAATCAAAGCTCGATTGAACCCCCCCCCCCCCTTTTTTTTGGAAGATCAAACTCGCTCGAGTTTATCGCACACAAACTGCACGTAAAAGTCAGTGAACGAGTTTTATTTGTAGACTGATAAACAACAGCTGGCTTATATCAGGATGATCTACTTGATTAATTAATCAGTTACAATTTTGAGCCTTTGCTTATAATAGAAGTATCCGTAATTAATCAATTACAGCATGTATTATTAGAAAAGCGTATTTCATTTTTTTTTTTAAAAAAAAGAGGGTTATCTTGTAGTTTCAAGTGTCATTTCACGTGAATAGATGTAAACGTCAAAGTTTTAATTTTATAGACGTGTGTGTAGCCTTATCTTTTTAACAAACCCACTTAAGTCGTCCTTGATTTCAACGCTTCAGAGCTTATTCTGAATATATTCCAATGATCGAATTCCTTTTTAATAATGTTGCAAGCAACAAAAATACCCTCTTACCACTCAAAGCAGCCTCATGACTTTTTATCATGAATTTGTAGCTCAAGTTGGACACACACACACACACACATATTTATACGGGATCAGCGATCGAAAATCAATATGTTATGTTACTTTAGTTATTTGAACAGTACAGTTTTTATTTGAATTTTAAACCATATCGATATATGGCATACCAGTAACCGAGGATCCAAGACCACACGGGTATCCTTGTTGGGACATATACGCCTTTATATCGTGTTTTTTAGCGTACACCATGACTCCTTTAATTTGAGGATCTTTAAAAAAAGCGCATACTAAACCTCTCCCTACGTTATCATCATCAATGGTAAATCGCGTGGCTGTATCAGAATGAGCATTAAGGAACGGCTGGAGAATATGCGAGAATTCCTTGCTAGTGTCAATATTCTTGAACAATACGGGTTGAGGTAATTGGGAGTGAGATAAAAAAGTCATTTTTTTAGAGGTTTTGTAAAAAAAAAAAGCAAAAATAAAAAAAAAGGTATACAAGACGTGTTTTTCCCTATTTATTTGTACAAGAGAACAATGACAAAAAAAGTATCACATCATCTGATGATACACATGCAACAAAGAGCGTGATGTTCAATGGCTTATTATTGTGTACTGTGTAGGGATGATCTTCTTTCAGAAAGAAAGGTAATACAAAAATGCTATCTTTTGAAGTGTGTGTATCCCGAAATGCGACAAATTAATTTTTTTATTATTATTATTGATATGTGGTGGGTATCGAAATCAATCGTCATTTTCATGTTCCATCTCCTGATCTTCCTCACCCGGTGAGCCCGATAATGGTGGCATAGATGCACTCTCTACATCCGGCATGTCATCATCATCCTCGCCATTCACTCGTTTCTCAAGTACAATGGAGGAAGGTTGAGGGGATCTGGGTTCCTCTCCTTTTGATTCCCCCGTACTGAGCTGCATGGGACTCATATGTGAACTTTGTCTAGCAGGAGGGGGAGAGGATGAGGAGGTCGATAATCGTGTATTGGCTTCAATGTCAGGAATATGATGATGGACAGTTTCTCGCTGATGAAGACTAGCTAACATTGGCAAATCTCGTCCTGGTTCTGTGATATCACGATGCTCTGAAGGTCGGGTACGATTTTGATACTGCAATATATATATATATATATATCAATAAATTTTTTTTTACTCTGTCATTTACCAATATAAACTTTACCTGATCAAATGGCAAAGCACCACCACTCACACTTGTATTACTATTGTTATACTGACTCGGATTTACGACATCTTGGGGTACTGGCGCAGTATTTGTGGCACCACCGGCATTAGGTTTTTTTAATAGTTCCAATCTTTGCTTGATGTGCGAGTTTGCTGGATCCAAATCGGAAGCGCGTTGGTAAGCATCAAGTGCATCTTGAACCTGATTATTGCAGGTTTCATAGAGAGTTCCTAGATTATACCAGACTTCACTAATGTAAGGATTTAATCGAATGGCTTTACTGTAGGCGTCTAGAGCATCACGGTATTGATTGATCTGATAGTAAAGTACACCGATAGAGCACCAAAAGGTGGGATTGCGAGAATCTCGATAGACAGCTTGTTGATATGACTCGTAGGCTTTGTTGTAATTTTCTTCTGCCATAGAGCACCTGCCCAACAGATACCAAGTCTGAGCATCGTTACTATCTGCCTTTAGTGATCTGTTGAGAAACTGCATGGCCAATGTTCCATTTCTGAAATTCGTGCCCTGTTGATGATAAAGCCAGCCCAATTGTTGCAATACTTTAGCATGTTCTGTGTTTTCACGAAGGACATGTTCATAAGACTCTTTGGCGGCATTGTATTCCTTTTTTTGCTCGTAGACGTGTCCGGTTTGAAACCAGATATCGGATTCAGTGAGTGGACGGGGTGGGTGATGTAATATGTAACGAAAGCATTGGAGAGACAAATCGTATTTTCGCTGTTGTTTGTAAATAATGCCTAATCTAAAATAGATCTCGTCTGATTTTTCAAAGTGGGGATCCATCTTCATGACCGCAGAAAAGGCTTCTTCAGCATGCTCCAAAGATCCATAACGGTCGTATAAGATGCCAATACCATACCAGAGCTTGGGATCCTTTGGGTTTGGGAGGTGGTATAAGGCTTGTTGATAAGCTCCATAGGCATCTTGGAGGTTATCCATCATGAGATAACAATGACCTAACGCAGCCCATATGTCTCCATTATTCTCTTGAATCCCCAGAATCCTCTTGAAATACTCAATGGCCTAAAAGAACATAGTTGAGAAAATTACGCGGGAAGAAGGGGAAGAGGGGGTGAGATTAACTTTTATATTATTACCCTTCCGAATTGTTCTCTTCCTCTGCATAAGGAGGCGATTTGTGTCAAGGCAGGTACAGAATAAGAGTTATGTCGTAGTGCTGATTCATAGCAGTTCATAGCTTTATCATAATCCGCCATCATTTCTGCTAGACTACCTAGTTTGTAAGGAAAGAGAGAATTGTTTACACCTTATTTTTGAAATGGTTAGATGGTTCCTTTCTTTTGCTTACCAATGGTTAACCAAGTTTGTTCATTAACTGAGGCTAACTTTTGAACAGTGTTGGATTGTTGTAAGAGCATCATGGCGTTAATGGAGAGGAGAGGAATACAAAATAAAACCTGATTACAACTAGAAAAAAAAAAAAGAAAAAGGGGGGAGAAGAGCAAATATAAAAAAGGGTTGATAAATATATATATATATATATATATAAATATTTAATAAGGTTTAAAGTCATCCTTTCCGACGCCGATCATCGTTTCATGAATTATACACTAATACTTTGCACTATGTCCATCGGCGTTGTTTTCGGTGTAGTTTCATGCGTAGCGTATACAGAAGAAAAAAGAAAATAATAATAATAATAGTCATGGTTTATTTCAAACACTCTGTTGTATAATACACATTTACATATAAAAATATCGACTCTCTCTCTCTCTCTCTTCTTCTACTCTACAATCAAGTTGCATACATCCCAATCCTCAAAGGTACCATCGGGTAAGAAACGTCTGACAATGAGGGGAATCTTCTTTTCTCTTAATTCCTTCATGGCGATAGCTAAAGCATCGGACTCTCCATCAAGCTCCACCATCACGGGGGCATTTAAACTATCATATGCAAAGTGTTACAACACAGGTTTCTCAATTTACATGCCTGAGAGGAATACTTTACCTGATTTGGAGAGCACGGGTACCTAAAATTCTAGCTCTTTCATATCGGGTCATATAAGGTGTGGTTTGCTTGACTTTGCTTTCAGTGGCAGGAATAGCCTCGCTTTGTTCAAGAATCATGACGGTATCTTCCATCTATAACAATTATTGAGTCTCTCTTGTCTTTCCATTTAACTGCAAAAAAAAAAAAAAAACTTACTACAGTACTACATGAACAAATATTAATACATGAATGAAATAAGAAATGCCTAATGAAACTTACTCTCCGTTCATTTTATGTGTGTATTTGTATGTAGAATAATGAGCTGAAGCCTTTCCCCCAAAAAAATATTTGATGTGTATTCCAAAAATTCAACGAGAAAAAGGCGTCACAAAGAGGCTTGGAAAAAAGGGGGTTGTCTTAATCCTTTACGCCCTTGAGTGTCATGCGATTTACAGCTGTCAGAACTCCAGTCATCAACACGAAGCGTTTATTTCATTGACTGTCATATCCACACAAGAAAAAAGAGGGAGGCGTATTAAACAGATGCAAGACCATTATAAATGAAATATGAGACTATTGTCAATGATTTGTTTTAATCAGCTATAAGAAAAATGAGCCAATTAAATCCAGGCAAATTGGGATTTACAAAGTATAGTGATAAAAATACAAAAAAAGGGGGGAAGAGAATTACAGGGTAAAATTATAAACAGACAAACGATAAAAAAAAAAAAAGCCTGTTGAATATACAAAATATGTATAGATGTATGAACCATTCTTACTTGCGAGCAGAATGGATCTTACTGTAGATACGTTTACCGTAGGGGGTATTGCGAATGGAAGGTAATAAAGGACGAATACATTCAATAAACTGCATTCTTTGATCTTCTTCAGCCGAATCCAAACATGTCTGAATAACATAATTTGCATAAGAGTCACGCAAAAACCTTTCCATATTAGGATGTTGGATGATTCCCGCAATCAGCAATCTCCTGGTGTCTTTCTCTGCAACACGGATACACTGTGTGGGTAGCCTGATATTAGTACAAGAGGAATTTGTATACTTTGAGACTAACCTTTTCAATGACGTTGGAACTAAACTTTTGTACAGATAATTCACGCACAGGCTCAATAAATCGGCGTATTAAATTATCCGAATATTTGGCATCACCTAATTCTAATACATATTGTACAACATAGTTCCCAAAAGGATCTTGGACCAGAGGTAATGCGTTTTGAGTAATTACGTTTACAAGCTGGGTCTGTTGATTTAAAAATAAAAATAAAAATAAATAAATTATCATTTTTTTTTTTTTTTTTTTTTTTTTAATTTAACCTTTTGTGATTGCACGGCATGATCAATACAGCGTTGATAAACACAACAACCATGTTTATGAGAAGCAACTTCGATGCAATGTTGACTAACCGTATCATAAATGAACTGATTATGTTCAGGACTTAATTTATGTAGACATTTCTGGATAACATGATTGCCATTCAAGTCTTTAATTAATGCTACCACATTTGGCTCCAACGCTACAATCACAGCTTGAATCTAATGTACGTACAAAAAGGGGGGTGAGCAAATAGATTAGCAACAGCTCGAAAAGAATATCATCCCCCCCTATTATTTCACCCTTCTCTTCCCCCTTTTCTTCTTTCAACTTGCCTGTCTTTTGGTAGAAAGAAATTCAATCAGTTTTTGTACGGCTCTTGTGCCATGCATACTGAGACAAATTTTTAAAAACTGCGGCGCAATCACCTCTACAATACTCGAACGTTGTCCATCATCACAACGTTCTAATAACTTTTGGCACAAGTAGTTGCCAAACGGATCCGTCATCAAATCCACAAAATGCACATGAATCTCATTGTAAATCATCGTGACATGGCTGGCGGATTCCTCCAATTTTAACTGAAGAAAACGACACCCGTGTTGATCTTTGCATAACTCATATAATTTACCGCTGAATTCTTCTAGCTGTAAACCAGCAAACTTATTTTCTGAATCCACAACACTAGTTTTTCGACTGGTGGTGGGAGCAATCGTAGTAGTAGTAGTATTTTCTTTGGGCATATGTTGCTGTTGTTGTTGTTGCTGTTGCTGTTGTTCAAAAAACGGCGTCGGTTCAATCATGGAGGTAGAGTTACATGTTGAAGCGGAATTGGAATAACGTAAAGTAGGCATTGTTTCATAGTGTGTATAAGGACAAGCATCTTTGAGTGTACAGTAACCGTATTGTCGAAGATGTTGACATAGATCGATTTGTTGATTATTCATACGATAAGAACCTAAAGCAGCTGCCATGGGAAGATCCGAATAAGAATACGATGTGGCTAATCGGTTTTTACCCGCTATTGTTGTTGTTGTTGTTGAAGAAGAAGACGCTGTGTAATGATTGCCCCAGCCTTGTTGTTGCTGTGGTTGATGGTGGTGAGGGAGAGAAGGAGGAAATCGCTTTGTCTGACCATAAAAGGCTGCCTGAACATCTTGTGGACTGATAGGATCGAGAGGTCCTTGTGTTGAATAATTGGCTTGTTCTTGTGAAGCGTCCAAGAATTGAGCCCAGCTTTTGCTACGAAGTGATTCTACACTTCTTGCAGAGTTTTTTCTCAAACTAGTTTCCAGTTCTAAATCCGAAGCAGAAGGTGAAGAAAACTATTTTTATCAAATTGAAAATTGAGTTCTTTTTCCTGTTGTTTTTTTGTACATATTGTGTTTCTTTCTGTTACCAGTCCGTAATTAGCATTATTATTTAATAGATTACTATTATTGGTATGATTATTATTATAACGTGAGCGTAAATAATTATTCTGGTGGTGAAATGAAGTGGGACTAGCAGGAATTGCGGCAGCGGCAGAAGCAGCAGCAGCAGAAGCAGCAGCAGCAGCAGCAGCAGCGGCAGCAGCAGCTTCTAAACAAAGTAGTCAAAATCAAAAGAAAAAGAAGGCATTTTTGTTTTATCTACCTGTATTATCGACATTGTAAAACAAGCTAGAGGCATAATTTTGATGATGATTCATGGAACCTACGTCTATGCTAAATGACCTTGGTGGTGGTGGTTTCATTAGAAAGTCAATGGGCGTATCATAATACGAGGCATCAAACAATGTGCTACTGATGAACCATTTAATAATGTATTATAAAGCGGGGTTTTTTTTTACCTTCTTTTTTCATCATTTGAATTACGACGTGAACCAGGAACAGAACGCGATGAAGAACCGATATCTTCAGTAACACTACTTACATAATAATCAAATGAATTGGGTTTTGTTTGTTTTTCAAGAGCCATGATCATCTACAAGTAACTAAAAGGGAGTCAAAAAAATAAAAATATAAAATTCGTAAGGAGAAAAAAAAAGAAATTTTTTGTATATGTACATTTTTTATATAAAAAAAGATGCAAGATCGACAGGGAATAATAAAAGAAAAAAGCTCCTTTATCTTTGTGGAAAAGAAAAAAAAAATAAATAAAAAAAAAAAAAGAGGAGAAAAAAAGGAACGCTTATGCATTACAAAAAGGGGGAGGCAAAAAGATCATTATCGTACGTCACCAGCATTCCTTTTAAGTTTTTTGATCTAGCGGCTCTCCAATCCTTTTTTTGCATTGATTTTGTATTCCCTTTTAGTTACCTCACCTATATTTCTCTAAGCGTATTTTGAAAAAAAAAACGGAGCTGTCCCTATTTTTTGTTACTTCTTGGGAAATGAAAATGAAAGGAGCGTGTCTGCAGTTAATTGACCGAATAGACTGACAAAGTGTACGTAGCCCTCCTTCACCCACACACACACACACACACACACCCACACCTGCTGTTGCTGGTGTGTGATTCGGGTCACGTTATCCAGTCACGTTTGATTGCATATTAATCCATTTCTTATTCTTTTTTTCTCCTCTCTCTCTCTCTTTCTCTCTCTCTCT